ACTTAAATAAAATTATTCCACAAGATTGAACTTGTTCTAAAATTTGACTTCTTATTGTGTGTTGCTCCACAGGATTAATAAGGCTTACAGAAGAAGAGCTACAGGTTTGATTCAAATTAGTGTCCAGCTCTATGCAGACATTGCAGTCGGGATTTTTGTGCTGGGGAGGAACACTACAGGGGTAGTTCTTGGGTTTTGGGGTTTTTTTAAAAGATGTTTCCAAATTAAGTTGTATGGAAAGCGGAAGGGGAAGGAAACAGCTCTGAAACTTGCTATAGAAATCTGTTGCGTATATCAGAATTGTGTTTACACCTACGATTAACGTTACTAGGTTACGCCAGACAGTTAAGATAACTCTCACGATTTCTCCTCATGTGGCCAATAACTCAAAACGAAGCCTTATTCAGGGTAAAGTACTCTTTTGCAAGCGACCAAACAACAAGTACAAAAGCCCATGAAGTCTACATGCGGGAAATTAAGTCTTCGGGAAAATAATTCACGTTTTTAACTGCATCCAGGACAACCTTCTGAAAACATTCTTTCATGGGTTTGGAATCAAAAGGTCACCTTAGCACTCTCTATTTAGCTAAGCAGCAGCTTGTTATCCAGTTGTCTGTGTGCGTGCATTTAGCTTGCAATTCAACTCATTAAATAATATTTGAGCTATATTGTCCCTGGACTTACTCAAGTTGTCTAAAAAATAAAAAGTTAAAAATAAGCTATTTATTGCAATCAGAAGACGACTACATGTGAGGAGCTATTTAACAAGAAGTTAAATAACAAGAAGTTAAATAGCTGGAGTCAATAATCACGAAGAACTAAAAAGAACTGCTTTAAAACCAGAGAACAAAACCAGAACATGCAGTTATTTTGCTGCCTTGTGGGAAGGTTATGGTAATAGGCCATTTTAAAATGTGTTGAGTGAGCTCACGGGGACTGAAAGAGACGCCACTGAAGCTCCAAAAGAACTGAGATTTAAATAAAACTGATTCTGAATATAAAACAAAGCACTCTTGATAAACATGCATCTTAGACTCTGAGTTGTCTTGGATAGATTTAAAGCACAAAAATTGCTATTAACAAATTCCCTGAAAGAACATTCCTGGAAATTCTTCCTCAGCAGCTGAATACAGAGGAAATTCTTCTCAAGGAAAAGAGAAAAACTGTAAACAAAAAAATCCCACCACCGCTTGGAGTGGTCTCTAAATCCAGTCTCCTCTACATCCCTCAAGTGACAGCTCCTTTTCCTGAGCTCCTGTGCCAAGGGACAAATGAAGATTAATATAAAGAATGCATTCAACTGACAAGGCAGCAGTGAGACTGTCCTTTTTTCTTACTGTTGACTTAAAATACAAATAGAATCCAAAATTGTCTGAATGGTTTCTTAAGCTTTGTCTATGAAAATCTTGTTTCAGCCTTGACAGGGACTAGTGCTTGTTGGCTTTGCAGCCACAAATTCAAGGATCAAAGAAACAAGAGTGTGGGCACATTTCCATCACAGGAGGCAAACTTTTTTTGGAAATAGGTTTGCTTGCTGCAGTCCGGATCTGTGGCTTTGGGAGGGGACCGTGTGCCTGAGCAGGTTAAATTATCTTCTCAGATGAACCAGGAAGGAGGAGAGAGGGTCAAAACTGGATTGAGACACAACCCTGAAAAAACTCTTTTTTTCATAGAAATAATCCGTTTTCTTTATTAGAGAATTGCTTTCATACTCCCTTTCTCATATATATTATGTATGTACAAACAAAAATCCAGATAGGTAGGAAAGAACAAGTGCAATATCTTGCTCCCTGCTACTCAAGGGAATAACTGATGATGAGGAAGATTAAACACTACCATGCCAAGCTAGAGTAGTACACTAAAGAACTTTAATAATTGAGTAAATAAACATTATAGGTATTTCAACAATGCATGTTGATATAAGCCACAATGGTTTGAGTGTCTTTGTCTAGGACATTTCAAATGTGCGTTGAGGTTTTTGCAAGTTAACTATTCTCAACAATAGACTGATTGATAAAGGTATTGCTCTGCTGAGTTACACACAGCACTCTTCTGTCTGAGGACTCCTGGCACAACACACACCTCTGTGTGTCTGTGTGTGCGTGACTACAGAGGGACAACTTCAGGCTGTTCTTTTCACTTCATTGGAAAACTGACCCTGGGAACCTTTAGAGAGCTGTGCTTTTGAGAATCTTTTATGAGCCATCACTCTCAGCACATGTAAGAAGCATGTTAGGAAACATGTAGCTTGCAGATTATTATAATAGCTTTATTTTTCTTCTCACTTGAATTAGTGGGGGGGAAAGAAAAAAAAAAAAAAAAAAAAGAAAAAGCAGCATCTGAATCCCCTCTGTCCAAAGTACTGCCAATATTTCAATATGTAGAGAAAGTATGTTTCTGGCCTGAAGTCATAAAAAACAAAAAGTCCCTTAGGACAAATGCTTTTAGTCGAGTTATAAATCTTTCAACACAACAGCTCATTATGGGAAAATAGAAATAGCCTTTCATTAAAATAACATTTTAATGCACAAAATATTGAAATAGCGGAGTAAAATCTGGCTACATCATTCTCAGTAAGCAAAACAATGGGCACTGAAAATTACAAGTATTAAGTTCTCTTCAATTTCTGTCATACCAGGCAGCATATTTTTCAGCAAGTGGCTATGGTGAAGAAAACTTTCTTTTTTTTTTTAATGGCACAGAGGTAAATGAAAAATTTGTGCATGTTAAATACTATCCTAGCAAGGAAGAAGATCTGTGCAATTGTGCATGTTTTAAGACTAGAGCTTCTGGCATAAAACACAGAGCCTAAGTCAATGTAAACCCATAGTAAAACAACAAGGTATTCTTAATTCCTCTACCAGTAGAGTGTCAAAAAATATCAACTGATTTGTAACACGTAGAAAGCATTGAATAAAGAAAGGTGCAAAAGGTTGCAGATTACTCAGGTTGAGCGTGATTATTATATTGAAATAAAATTCAAAGAAACAAGACCAGTGTCATTCTGAAATTAAACAGGTGGCCTTCAGGCTATTCTGGTGGCAAATTCATTACATGCACTAATGCCACTTGGTGAATTCTGTGTGTACACAGCAACAAGACAACAAACACATTTTAGTCTATCTTTTGTATGAAGAATTTAATTATCTATACATGTAACTAATTTTAAAGGCTGTATTACAGTTGTTAAAGCTGCAGGTTTTTATATATTTATATAATTTACATTCATATTGATGAAATACTGAAGTGCAATTGAATAAGGAGCTTCACTTGTTCTTTGCACCGCATGACGGGTCAGAAGGAGGGAGATGGCGTAGGATTAGAAATGCTGCAACACTGCCAGCATGAAATTTAGAAATAAATGAAATACATAAACCAGAACATAACTAAATGGTAAAGTAATTAGTAGAACGGCTATATTGTGCTTGAGGCATTGGGAAGAGAGGGTTTCTGCACTGACAGCACCAGGCATTTCATCAAGAGCTTGTAACTAATGCTGGAAAGACAAACATGGTTTAGCTACAGCACATCTACTACATCAACTTGACTGTAAGCTCCATTTAATATTAATTTGTATAAATTCCACAGTCTAGTTTAAAAAAATGTAAACATTGGAAATTAATTGCAGGGAGATATTTCTATACATTCTTTCTTGTCAGGAAAATTACTTGTTCGAAATGTGTTGTTCCATAGTCATAAGAACGTAAAAATGAGAAATCAAACTTCATGTAACCAAGATGAAAATGAAGAAGTTAATTCTCAAATCCCACATGAATGTAGCATTCTATTGATTTCTGGTATGAAAATGCAAAAAAGGAAACATCTGAGACAAACACAAACCAGAGTGTTTTCTAACTGTATGCAGCTACAAGTAATGTGCAAAATAAAATGAACATAACTGGGATAACAACATTATGCAAGGTTAATATCTCTTGCATTGGAAGGAAGTTAATTTCTTCTCTTCACAATGTATTACACACTCAACAAGAAACACCTGATACATACAGTACAATAACTACAACAAAATACCTCATCTGTAATTGGGCACATTTAAAGTTCCTTAAACTGATTTAACTCCTTCTGTTCTTTTGTAATTAAAAAAAAAAAAAAAAAAAAAAAAAAAGGAAGACATATTGACAACACTGGACAAGTGAACAATAAAAAAGAAATATACATAAAATCTCAAATTTATGGACATTTGGAACAATTTTAATAGCACATGCAGCATTCCTTGATAGTGGGTCTTTTTGCACAAACAAAATTGCAATGAAGAAATTTAAGTTATGCTTTTCCTTTAAAAGGCTAAAATACATATTTTAAAATAATTTTAAAACTACTGAAAGCACCTGTGCAAAGGTGGAAAAATTAGTTTGGTAACTATGAAAGCCACAAAAGGACCCACTATCCTCTGATTTTTTTGTGTGTTTTTTTTTTTGTTTCATTTCAATTTTGCGTCTATATCTGTAGGTAATTAACTCAAACATTGCGATTACATGCAACTAATGTAAAATGAGGTAAACTGCTCTGCAGTGTGTTCTTCTACTCAGAAGGCAGTAGGTGATCATGCTGGAAGCCACATGATCAAGGCTGCATCTCCCATCATCCCTCTGGGCAGTGATATGGGATAGTGGGTCTCTTTGAGGACTTTCAAGCCTGAGTGGGGGATGGACAACATATGATTCCTAGAAAAAGGAGGAAAACAACACATAAGCAAAACAAAACAATGAGCAAATTCAAGCTAGGAAAATGAGTCAGGCATGTAAACAGCATGGTGCAAAAATGATAAAGGGTAACATGCTACAAAGGGGATGGGAACTAAAAATAAAACAAACATAAAATAAGGTTTGCATTACAGAAGGTCTTCAAAGAGACTTTGACAAGTGCAGCAGTGGTGAAGCTTTGAGTTCTGCAAACCACAGCAGAATCACAGCAATGCTGCATGTTTCATCTTAAAGTACTACACAAATAATCACAGCACGGCAGCAGAGAGGGTCACTTACATTGCTGGCTTGGGTCCATGTCTGTTGTCAGCTTCACATAGTTGGATGGAAAGAGACCCACTTGTCCATTCACCTCCCCTTTCCACCAGTCTGGGTCTTCCTTGTTAAGGACGTTTATAATCTGGCCTTTATTGAATGCTAGCTCATCGTCATTCTGTGCAGTGTAGTCATACATGCCAATTACTTGGCACACTGTAAGATAAAGGAAGAGGTCTGTCGCACTGGGAAAGTTTCAGCAAAACATACTCTATGCATAAACCAACTACGAACGTTACAGAGGTCACAGCATAGTTCCAAGTCACTACACTGATCTGAACCTGTCCTGCTGCAGTCCTGCCACTCTCTCCTGTGCCCCTGAAACTGGCACTTAGCTGAGACCTCAACAAATTGGCTCAAGGTGATTTAAAAAAACCAAGAGTTTCCTAGCAGCATTGCTCTCTCAGTCAGCTTACTGAGGGGTCAGGACCACACTAGGGAGGGCAGAGCACAGCAGTGCAAACTGAGAACAGCGTAACCTACCTGGAACTGTACCCAAGGTATTTTTGTTTCGAAGTGCTCAAACCGTAGGGGAAGACTGGGAATATTTTACATTTTAGCAAGTCGTCGAAAACTCCAAGGATGTTAGCTTTCTACTGACACTTCTTTTTCACTTTATATATGTATTTTGTGCCCACAAAAGCACCAGATTTGTTGTACATTTATCAAAATACCATTTTGCACCCTCGCCAACCTGTTCTGAAAAGTATCCTTTCCAAACAGAACTGATCAATGGACAGAAAATCTTGGAAACTTAAGTTCCACTACCTGAAGCGTGAAAAAGGCACCCTCTTCTAATTAGCACCAGAAAGGCTCAACAGAGCTCTGTAATTCAAGAGAAATCCTATGGTGGTATCCTTGTACTACCACTAAGGCATTAGGAATACAAAGATCTTGGAAAGGTTGAAAAAAATAAAAAGCATCGTAGGTCATTTAGGCTGCCCTTCTGGCACCACAGGACTGCTTCCAGCAGCCTATTTTCTATTTCCTTACTGTGAAACTCATCAAATCTGACTGGTTCTTAGGACACAGGAGTTTCTGATCAATTATAATAGAGCAGTTTTCTTAATTCGCTAAAGCAGCAGGACTGTTTGTTTAGATACATAATTTCTCTGATGTTTTCTATATGCCAAGTCACAGGGCTTCTAGTATTTTGCCTTAAGACAAAAGTTTTCTATCTAATTAGCCTTGCTGTCAGGTTCTCTCTATCATACTCAGCCTAAAATTTCCTTGTATTTTCATTCTTGTGCTCAGCTAGCAACATATTCAAATTTTTCAAATAGCTCCTCTGTCTTTTTGGAATTTGTACTTCAGAAATTATTCAACTCCTTTTAGTTAATACTTTGCGCCTGTTCACAAACATCATAATCAAATAAACTCCACATTTAACAAGACCTCTCTATATATCTCAATATTTAGCTTTGTTACTTACAAAAGGAAAGAAACTTTAATAAATAAATAGAAATAAATAGAATAGAAATTATTTTCCTGGTATACTGGAGATAAACCAGCATTTCTAAAGAAATGTATATTATGCTGTACTCCCACTGCAGTTTTGTTCACATTTCACTTTAAAGGCCTCTCAATCTGTTTTACAGTACTCTTGTTACAGGTTTGCAGGTTATTACTAACTTGAAGAATGAAAAAAAATTAAGCTAGACCATACCTGAATACAATATGCACATTAACAGATTCGTAACCCATTCTAGAGTTAATTTCTTTCAAGAATTTTTCATTCAGATAATTCTCTTCTACTTCAAAGAACTTCATGAATTTTGGTGCTGTCCAGTAGTGTCATCAGAATATCTAAATGGGATCCCAAGAATCATCTTAAACTTGCGGGGGAGGGAGGGGGGGGTAATTTAAGAGAATTCTTGAAGAGATAGGGCTCCTCAGTTGAACCTGAAGCAGTGACCTCATCTTGATCTTAGTTACACTTGGTCACAAAATTAGAATATACCTCAGTCCTATATAGGAAGGTCTTCTAGTAGGCCCAGCAAGAAGGTTCTTCACTTATTTTGAACTCCAGAAGCCATTGCTAACTACAAAAGCAAGCTATAGCCTACCTTGTCTGAGCTCCAGTGCTTTTCAGCCATTTGTTTCCTTTTTAGAAAGATTGTCCATTGATTAATACCAGCCCTGCTGCAATGGCAGAGGGAATCCAGGTTCTTACGCAACACTCACGATCAGTACAATCTATAATGTTGTCTTTCTTTAAACAAGCAGAATGGTTGAAACACATTTCCCACTATTCCTATATGGTGAATCGCCTTACTCCTGACTAGCTCCAAGTAGTGGTAACAGTTGTTCTCATTTCTCAGCACCAGGAAGGACATGTTCATGACGCAAGTTTAGAAGGAACACATACAAAGCAGTCAGAAATTAAGAAAACCTCAAAGTGTAAAGCAGAAGTGCCCATGCAACAGAATTAAAAAAAAAAAAAAGTTTTTAAAGTCATGCAGTTTGCATTACAGTATGGCAGATGGAGTGCATATACATCAGAACAAAATGACAAAAGAAACAGAGGCTCTGATGATAGTTTCTGATGGATCCCCTACCTTCAAAAGACAAGTAATGGCACTCTCACAGACCCTTCATAATGGACTACCTTGTAGATGGGTTTTTTTCAGACTTTCCGTGTCTTTTGCTATAGTAATCTCCTCCCCACCCCAACATACTTGCACTATGAAGATGCTTTTCAAGCATTCACCTCTTAACCTCTTACATTAACCACAGAGTCAGTGAGGCCATCTATCATAATGGAAGGACAAGATTCTACTTCTCACCCTCCAAAATGAAAGGTTGGTAACGACGTTGAATTTGATAAAAATGAATGCCATTAAGATTTTGATGTTCTGTAAGGAATGAAAAAAGTGCTAGAAAGAGTATGTAAAAGTTTTATTACCAAGTGTGAAAAGTCTCAGGCTGTCAAACATGAAATAATTAAAAAACCAAAAAACATCCTATCATATTGCCTTGCAAAAAAACGTGTCTCAACACTAAGTTATCATTTTAACTCCAGGACCCAAACTCATGAGTCTTTACAGAAGTCTGATTTTCTGCATCTTTATGACTACCATCAAGGGAGCCAGTTAGCACCATTTATAATATTTGCCTTCTCTGATATGGTACTTTTATTTATACCAATGACACAACAAAATAATGCCTCACTATTTTATTCTAGTTCCATAAACTGCATGATGACTCTTCATGCATATTTAAAGGAGAAAATTAGGCTCACTACCATTTTTCATTTAGAAACATTTATTTAATTTTAATGAAAAAGTCAAGAAACGGCCTGGGGAAGCAGCAAGCTGTTGCTCCCTGCCACCCCCAACTAAATCCAAACAGATGACAGACAACCATGTCAAGTCTTTTGGGTGGCCTATGGAAGAAAATACATCCATTTGACATGGTTTTGATTGACAAGAATCCTCTTTACTTAGTACTATACCAACTCACAAGCCCCAAATGGTTCAAGAATGAAACAGTCACAAGGAATGAACTTTTTGTACTCAGTCTTCTGCCTGGCTTTATACCTTGCAGTAGACTGACAGGACTGTTTGATATTCCCTGTGGTGAAGCTGTAACAAATAGCTTTAAAAATATAATGGTCTATCACTCTTGTATCCTTTCATAAACTTTAAAATAAGTAGCTATATGGGACAAAAAGCTACATCTTCATTTGTGTGGTCTTCTCACGTTTCACCTTCAGAAAAATAAAAGGTTCTGAATGAGAGGTGCCTCAACTGCTAAGCCCATGGACCATCCTGAACCTTTAAAAACTCCTTTACTACAATTAGTGCAAACAAATAGGACTGATAATTTGAATGTTTTACTCTTTGAGGCGTAATGCCACAGATGGCTTTTTAGCACTCAGCAGTTCATACCTGAGGGACCACCACAATAAATACGCTGACCAATTGTATGTTTTTCTCATGTAAAAGAAAAATTAAAATGAAGAGTTTAACTAAAGTGATTAGTAGAACAGATATTAAATATCCTACTGAATGTCCATAATTATTTTTAGAAGTCCTACTGTAAGTGACACACATTACAAAAGCAACTTTGTTAATGCAACCACACTGCTTACCTGAAGGTAATGCTGTTGATTTAGGTAGCTCGGTTGGTGTAGTTTTACTGGTACCAGGGCTCAGAAGTTTTACATAATTAGCAGGGAACCATCCTATCTGCCGTTTTTTCCCTCGTGCCTAGTAAAAAAACAATTCTTTTAAGAGGATTAAGCACATCAATAGATCCTTAGACAAGGTAATTCAGTCAATATTTTAACTGCTTGCAGTCATACTGACTATTTTAGAAAAATAAAAATGCATTTTATAAGGAAAAAGTCAGCTATTTTCATAGCAATAGATTAATACTGGGATATTTTATCACGTGAAGTAAGCTTTCATAATATATAAATGCCATTTTATAATATATATATAAACAGTAGTTATTTACTACTAATCTGAGTGATTTTTCACTTAACAGTGTTCCTACTTTGTGTGCTTTATAATTAATACTACAACTCTGATTATTCTGAAAGATTTATCCTGATTCTGTTTAAACCATAACTCTAGAATATTAAGCTAGCTATTGCATTAATGAGTGGCAGCATTTAAATGCTTTTTTGTTATGCAAAGAATTGCATTTAAATACATACCTAGGACTGTGATAGTTTAAGCAGAGATTAAGAAACCCAATTAACTCTTTTCTTTTAAGGAAACAGTATCTAAACTTTTTAATAGTCTCTCCTGCCCAAACAACAGACAGAGTATAAACATATGTCACATTAACAAAGTGCTAGAACAACAGCAAAACATTACAACAAGAAAAAATGGGTAAAGTTTGGATTCAAACACAAAATCCCAAAGCCAGATTCCAACCAAGCAAAAATTAAGTTTTGGCAACTACAAATACATATGGACAGACACTGTCCAAATGATCCTAATTAACAGATGTTAAGGTTTTGGAAAGTCCACTAGATGTTCTCATGCCTATCTAATTAGAGGACATCAGAAAACGTGGTGTGCACATGTATTAGTGTGTGTGTGGTCCGTGTGTGTGTGCTGAGAGAGCAGCAGGTTACCATACACCTGGCCTACAGCACCGCTCTACAGCTTGTAATGCAGCTGCAATCAGTCACTGTCAGAGACAGGATATTGGGACAGACGAACTGCAGGTCCGATCCAGTGTGACAAAGCTTGTGTCACTGAAGCAGGACAGGAATTTGACAGAAACCACATCAGAAGAAAAATCCTTACTGTAAGAAAGGTTACGCTAAACTTTGAATCAAATTTCAGCTTCTAAATCTATTTAATCTATGTTAAGAATTACTTTAACTATTTATTCTCTTTTTGTGTTGTTAGAATAAGGTTGGAACTTTTGACATGTAGAATTTTGTCTTTAAAACAAAAATAGATGTTAATTTTAGTGGGGAAAAATAATATCATCTAACATATACTATTCTTTCACTACATCCTTCCCTCTCTTTACTGAAAAAAAAAGCACTTGATCTACAGCTTGTCTAGATCATTCATTTTAAGATATTCTGGAAGACTGCATTAAACCCAGCAATGTGATGCTTAATACATTTGCCTTATTTTACCTTCACTCCCGCCTCTAAGACAAGTATAATCAAAATTTACTTGAGGCTGAAACTGAACTATACATATACTTCTAAAAAATCTGCCACTTTGAAATTAAATTTATAAAGAAAAGTTACTATTGGTGCCCTTCTCCAAATCTTGTCATCATTTATCTACTTTGCGGGGGGAGGTGGTGCTGCTTTTACTTTTAATCAAAATCCATTTCACCGTAGTGCTGCATTAGCCTTTGTGCTCACATAACAAAGGAGCAAGAACTAGTATTGCACTGTTGGAACACGAGAATTAAAAGAATAGCTAGGGGACTGCTAATGAAGAAAAGAACCAACTTTTAAAACCATTTGTAAGATAGTAAGGTATCCCAAGCTACATATGAGTATTTACATAACCAAAAATTAATTTTTTAAAAAACCTCAGATTAGCTGCTAAGTGGTAATTGTGACAGCTCTTCCACAGTGAAGCTTATTTTCTATCTTAAAATACATTTAAAGTGAGGCTGTTTAAAACTACAAGTTAACAACAATGTGAAGGTTAGTGAGAATAAAAACCAAAGCAATCCTGGAAGATGATTTCTCCACAAAAGATAAAAAAATATCACCAGGAAAGGCAAAAAGGGCAGGTAGCAATGTGGAAAAAATACTTGAGTTAGTTTCAGCATCTGCATTGCAAAAATAAATCAATTACATTCTTTCATGTAATATCCCCTGTTAAAAAAATAAAACCAAACAAAACCTCATTCAGTGGTACTGGAGAGGGAAAAAAAAAAAGCTTTGAAGCTTTGCCACTGAAAGCCATTGAGAATTAAAGTTTCCAAATTGTTAAATTCTAAAAAAAACCTGGTTAAAATATTCTATTATCGTCTAATACAACAGTAAAGCTCTCTTGTATCTGATGCTTGCAACAGACACCGTTCTTTTCATTCCCTTATGTTAAACTGAGCTGTTGCTGAGATGGAGCCATTAGACTGGTACTCTACACTGTTACATTCATTAAGCAACCTGAAAAAGTGCTGGCCATCTTACAAAAAACAGCGCTGTAAAATACTTCTCAATCTTTCAACAAAAGAAATAGCCAAACTTTTGGCTGAAGCAATTCAGAAAGCTTTTTAGGAAGACATTCAGGGCTGCGTACCCCAGTATTTCTTCCACTTTCACAGTGCCCACAGGTATCAGCTAATCTAAATGCACGCGATACGCATGGTCACTATTGAAGTGGGACATACAAGTAGACCCTGTCATCTAACCCAACAGACTCCTGCTGCGTGGCTGGGTTTCCCAATCACCTGACATGACAACTGGCTTGTTGCTCACACGAAGATGACTACTGGACACAAGACTGGGAGGATTCAAAAGCAGTCAAAACAACATGCCCTAAAATCCACTCCTTTCTTATATCTGAAGGGCCTCCAGGAAGATTGACAAGGGAGTGGAAGGCAGGCTGGGTCTGATTCGTGAGATGGGTATCCCTGATTTACAAGGAGGCACAATGGCTTCCTCCTGCTGTCCTCCAAAGTTATTTCAAGTTTAAGGAATTGGAATGTATGTGTATTTTTGTAAAGCCATTTAATTTGTAAATGCTTAATTGCAGAACATTTTCAAAATTATTTATCACTGACGCATTCATCATTTTGAACTATTAAAAAATTACAGATTTTTTCACATGGAATTTTATTTCAAAAAACCAGTAACTAACTTGGAGCTCTCCTTCCCACCAGCCACCTGGGTTCTTCTTTCTGATAAGAATCAACTGACCAGGAGCAAGAGTAAGCTGTTCTGGACCCGTTGCTGTGTAAGAGGCAATAACTTGGGCAATTTCTGTTGAAGCAGGGGAAAAAAAAAAAGTTAATTTGGAAAAACCTGAACACATTCTATACAATATTAACTCTGCTATTTTCACTGGCACGGTATATCTATTTTGTATTTCTTTCCATAAAATTGTTATGTATTTATATAGTTCCATGAAAACATCTGTTAATTATAAAATGGATCAGAAGTTCAAAGCACTACAGGAGTAAAACAGGTGCAGCAGCTCTATGGGTAGGATATAAAAAATATTTCAAATAGAGAAGAATAATGACCATCATTAGAGCTATATGGCTCTTAAAATCAAGAGTCATAATACTGTTCTCCAATTAACACATTTTTGTAGCGCCAGTTTGGACTAAGCTCCCTGAAAAGAGGAGATACATGCTGATGAAGAATTTAAAGACACAAAACGAAGAAGTTGCAGTAACCAAGGTGAAAACTAATGAAGGCCTGCAGAAAATGTTTCACCACCAAACTAGACAAAAATATGAATGCTTTCAAAACGTAACAGGATTTATTGATATCTTTATTCCATGAACATTAATATAAAACTGGTGCCTTACTTGATCACTTACCAGCACGAATCTGACACAAAGTAACTGTGAGCTCAAAATTATCTCTCCATTAAATTAGCCAAAGTAGACAATGCAGTTTACTCCATCTTACAGTGGTCATGGAAAGACAGATGATAACTTAGTCACCACAAAGTCTGGCAAGGTTAACCCATTTTTTTGAACCAGTTTGAACTTACAGGAAATTATAAGCAGCTGTAGGTATTTTGATGGCCTACTGATAGCTTTTAAGTCAAATTTAGCATGTCATCAAACCATGTTTACAGTGATGGAGAACACTTTTAATACTATGATAATTTGGAATCTTTTGTAAACAAAAGATGGTAGATTTCAGAACTTTTTAGCTTTTCATAAGCTAAACCTTTTAGGCTGCTACATTTACACAGTCCCTTTGTAGTCATGAGTTAAGGGGAATCTGTGGGGAATTTTTTTTAGCCTTCACTTAGTTGTAAAGGGTCTCAGACATCCAAAGCAGCACAAAAGTAGTGTTGTTTCTGCTGAAAACTCCACTTCAGGATTCCAGTACACAGTCATTCATCACTTAAGTATTCTTCTTAACAGAATGATCTAGGGGTTGGGTTGGTGGGGGGCAGGATTTGTTTTTTGTTTTTAAGAAAAACCTTTTCTGGAATAGTAAATTCTGACCCTGTGTTTAAGACAAAGGAGGTTCTTAATGGGCAATGCATCAAATAAAGTTGGGGACCATCAAACAATTGATGTGGGCACTGAGTTTGACTGGTTATGGTTGTGGTCTAAGACTATCCTAGAACAAGCCCACAGCAGAGCCAGTAGTACAAGATCACAGACATGTCTCAACTGCTTCATTGCAAAGAAAGTCAGCTTAATTTAAAACCTCAGCAATTACCTGATCACAGGTCAATACACTGCTTGAGATTTTAGCTGTTATTTGAAAGTCTTAATTAAAAAAATCTGTATCGGTTATTTTCTTTTATGATTATGTACTGTTTGTACATATTTTCAATCTAGTCTATCCTCAAAAATGGGCTCTGGAAGACTACACAGAAAAAGGCCACACCTGAGGTCAAGTTTGTCCCTTTATAAAGCAGCAGAAAGCAATGTGGTGAGCATGAGGGGGATTAGTGGTCAACAGAGCAACAACAGCAAAAGGGACTGAGGCTGAAGGGAGCAAGTACACAGAAGTGGTCTCCAGCTTTCTCATGGGCAGCCATGCTAAGAAAGTAATGCAGGGCTGGGCACCATCCTACTTGGCCCTCTCTGTCAACAAGCACCAAACTTCCTGTGGCCAAGAGAAACAGCAGAGGCGCTCAGTAACAACACATCACCCACAGGCTGGGAAAGGAGGGGGGAGTCTGCTGGTAAGGCAGAAAAAGGGAGTAATCATTGAAAAGGCAGCTGTAGGCAGAGGAAACCACAAAGTCAACTCCCTTGAAACAGAGGGAGGTTTTGTTGCAGGGAAGAAACAACAAAGTGATTCGAAGATTGCCAGGAGAACGATCAGATGGTTTACTTAAAATTTAGAAGAAAAGGATGATTAGGAAAATTAAAAATGGTTGGAGAAGCATTCAAGATGTAAATGAACAACGCAAGGAAGATGAAGAAGCAGAGGGATGACAAGCAATCTGAGACCACTGCAAATGACGACACATGCAAAATTAATGATGGCAGAATCTCCCTTCAAGAAAACTCAAAGGAACTTAGACAGCACACAAAGTGTGAAAGCAGAAGGATAGAAAAAAGAATTTCTAAGCAAAATATAGTTGGTAGTGATAGGAGAGCAGAAAGGTTTACGCAGAGAAAAGCCAGCAGCAGCACAGTCTCCTGTATGAAGGCAAAGCAAGCAAGCTACTTGGCAGGAAACATGGCTATACTGGTAGAAAGTCTGCAAGCTCCCTGCATTTGCAGGTTTTTCCAGAGTATCACATTAATTCCTCCACCCTAGAGCCATTCAGGAGGCAAAATGAACACAAGCAAACAAATTAACTGTGGGACTTTGTAAAAATAATTTACTTTTTTTTAAAAATCAGGCAAAAGACTCTCTCACTACCATGGTAATTATAATATTCAGTATATCATACCGAGCATGCAAAAATTTTTATACTACACATCTCTCTCAGGAAGAAGATTTCTCATTTTTATCTACAAAAAGATGATTTACAAGGCTCCAGGTATCAGATATCCTCTTTCACCAACCGGCAGCATAAAGAATTTTTACTGTGGACTGTGTGTTAAAAAAGTTACTATATGAATTACAAATTTTAAATTCAGCTCTTGCATGTCACAGCAAAGCAGAAAGTTAAAGAAAGGAACTCAGAAAAAAAGTTAAAAAAAATTAAGTAGCTTTCCTTCCAGGAAGGACCTTTAAATTTTGATTTAAGTATTGAATTACTGAGACGAGATCCAATTCAATTATAGTCCAGGCCAAAAAAATGTGTCCTCTAATAAAACAGGTACCTTTAGAAAAAGAAATAAATGCCTTCTCACAGATACAATTCTCCTCATATTGCTGCTTAAATTTGCAAAGAGAGCGGTTTCTTTTCCCTTGCCCTTCAACACACATAGTTACCAACTTCCACCCACTCCTCCTGCTGCTTCTAGAAAAAACAGGAATATTTCACTTCATTCATTAGCATTTCACTTATATTGGCTGAGCACTTGCAGCTCAGTTATAGCAAAAACATCCATGAATTTCCTTGCTGAAAAATAGGCACGATTGTTCCCAAACTGTTCTTAAACTCCAAAAGATTCTGAACACACCTTTTGTCAACAACTCTCCAATTTCTGCTTCACTGAAGGTTCAAATCCAGGAGACCAGCAATTACAAGGCTGGTACTCTAGGCTAAAGTCGTGCCATCCACCATGGAAATAAGGCAAGATTTGGGAGACCACATCCTTGAAATGCCTCATTGTGCAACTGAACAAGCCTCAGAGAAAGGGACAGAATAGAAGCACGGAGCAACCCCTATTTAGTTTGGTTCAGCTCAGTGCAAAATCAACACTTTGGTACAAAAGCAAATCAATACACTGAGGAAAAAAAAAGCGATGTCTTCTGGAAAGTTTACAGATGCCTGCCAATGGCAGAGAATGCACTTCTCTCGTGGTCTTTGGAAATGCAATGGCTATTTGGAAGGATAGCCCCCACCACCAGGGGGGGACCTCTTTCTAGCCTAAAAGGAACCTGCAACATGATCTTCTGCAACACCAACAGGCTTGACAGTCAATAAGCTACATAGCATGGATATAAGTTATGTGCTCTTGAAAATGAGAAGCAGGCACAAGAGCTCACAAAGTCCACGTATACCATATTGTGTGCATTCTAGGCAAAATGCTGTAAAACCACAGGGTAAGAATGCATACTTCCATTTTCAGAGGCACTGGCAAACCTGGGCTTTTTGTAGGTTTTGACTGTTCTGTTCCACAATCTGTCATGAAGTTTACATTCATTTTTGAGCAACCCGATTTTTATTTTCTAGCTACATGCTATTTAGTGATTAATACGTGCTAGATAGAATGATTGACAGATTTTGCATTATTTTATTACAGACAACTTTTCATCAGTGCAAACTACTACAAAATGACCAAGAGAAAAATAATTTATTTTCATGGAAAAGATTTTGTTGCAATTGAACTTAAGTACTTAAAAACAGATATAAGCTGCTGTCACAATATATGACTCACCAGGTTTCTTCCCTAAGCTTCCCGTTTTTCCAGCTGCTCCAGAAGCCTTGAAATGGAAAGATGTAAGTTTAGCACTCATATTTATTTTTCCAGTATATGAAAATGATTTACTATGCTTCACTTTAACATACTGAACAAGGATGTAAGTAAAAAACTTTCACAGGAAGATTCTATTCTTACAGAAACCCTTAATATTTTAGATGGCAATCAATACATAGGAATAAATAACAAGCAGTGTACAGAAGTGGATGACTTAACTACATAAATGTGTAGACTTCTGTCCTGAACTTTTCTTCCTTTCATGACTGCAAATAGCAATGTAATTCCAAATTACATAGCATTTGAAGTATAAATCTGTGTATATACGGAAAGTTAATTCTGTCCAGTTGAGTTAAAACAACAATAGTAGTTTTCAACTCTACAAATAGTTGGATTGCAAATATGCTTAAAAAGCTAACTGGATATAATTATCTCAATACTGTCCATATTATGGTTCTAAAATTTCACATATGCAGTGTAGTTACGGCATCTTTAAGATGAGCTGTCCGAACTTTGTAGGTGGTGTGTGTTGCAGTAGTAAAAGCCCCACCACCACTTTTGTGCCTGAGAGCTCAAGACACTGAACAGCAAGGTGCTATCTATCTGTAGCTATTTCTTCTGAATCTGGATGGGGTGAGATGAGAGAAACATCATCATCCAGGCCAAGAGGAATGCAAGAAAAGCCTTTGAACAGCCACAACAAATCCAGCAAGCAGTAAAATTAGTTCAGTTATGTATAGGAAAACAGCGATATTGAAAGATTAAATTTAACATTAAAAGCTTTCATAATTTAAAACTCAAAGTTCTCTTCCTTAAAAGAAAAAAGTATTTTTTTTTTTCTTTGAGGCCACTGTTTTTTTGGGAAGAGTTATGTTTATTTTAATTCACTCTCAGGACTACTGATACACATGCAATTAGAATATTCAAAACTGTGTGGTCTCAGGTCTGCCCCTTGCACACCCCCCTTCCTCAGTCATCTTCCAACCCTTTTAGTCACCACCCTGTCTAGGACAGCTTCCCTCTGCCCCCTAAATAATTACCTCAGTTTATTCCCAGTACCTTACCAGTCTTATCTTATACAATAAAAAGGCTAGATATGGATAACAGCAACATAAATCTGCACTGTACTTTGGTAAGATATGTTGAATAACCATAAATATCCTCTTGCCTTCAAGCAAGGCTCACAACACTTCTGCCTCCCCTCAACTTCTCCTTTAGGATCCTCCTTACAAACTTGGGAGTCTACATCAAATGACCTGAAGGTTTTCACAGAATCCTAATTTCTCTATGGAAAAGAACAGTTTCATCCTCAATATTCTCCATGTGAAATTGATGCTTTGAAAACTTGGGGATTCTGGCAGAAACTAATACAAGGAGTAACTAAAAAACCAGTTAAACTACTGAAAGAACAGGGTCATTTAAAAATGTGTATTGGTTTTGAATACTTCTATAAAATAGATTGTTAGATAGATCTTCAATCTGTCTTGAAGATTACATAGCTGCTCTAAGACATCCACGTTTTGAGCATCTTTCAGAAAAGCTACTAAAGAAGCCTGATCTTTCAGACTGAACCATAACACCCCACAATGCTGTATTAGTCAAGGCAACCCCATCTAATAACAGCAGAAAACCCAGCAGAGTTGACATTGCCTACCTCACAAGCTGTAACTGGTACTGGAAGGTAAATCTAGGGATGGGAATAATTCTATTTATTTATTTATTTATTTTAAATTTGGCACCAAAGCACCTTACATACACCTAGTATACCACACTTTTCCTTGACATTTTGCAACTTAAATTTTGGGAAGGATTGAGGAAAGTGGATGCTTTAAGTTAAATGATACTTGTATACTGCTGTCTCAGTGCTACTTTCTTGTCATTGTAAAAGACTGATTATAGTTGCTTTCTACAATGTCAGCAAATCTTCCTTCTTCCCTATGTTCCTCTCTTTCTCTTCAGTTCTCCACCTCTATCTACAACCACTGTGACCTATATTAACCAAAAAAGTGAAACAGGAAAGCATCATGCAGAGATCAGATACAAAGACTAAGTTTAGGCCTGGGGACAAGGAGAAGGTGGTCCAGAAAAAGTGACTGCGAGTCCAGTGATGGTCCCCAAGTAGGGAAGATTAAAAGATTTGGTGTGGAACCAAAGGTGATAACTGGCACCGATACGGTAACATTAGGAATTAATTCTACTTTGGAAAGTGTTTCCAGCAGAGAAATATCCTCCCCACTCCTCAATAAAGAACAAGTGTTTGGACCTTCAGAGAACAAGCTTCTTCAAAATACCGCTTAGTCAACATCCATGTTGCCAGATTAGGAGTATACGGACACATAAAACAGGCTGTGACACTGTATCTTTACAGTTAAGTGGTAAACAGAGATCATCTTAAGAGAGAAACTTCAAAATCACCTTGACCAGGCTAAGTCTGAATTCTGTTCAAGGATTCTCTGAATCCTTGGTAAAAAATGCAGAAAGAATACATAGAGACATCATGCAGTACTTCAATAAATAACTAAATTAAGATGGTCCCAACTTCTGGCCCACTCAGTAGATAAAGAAGGATTTTCTATTCTTTCTGTTGAGAGAAACACAGTGGAGAGAACTTACCCCATTCTATTTCCCTTTAGTACACCTGAGACACTAACTACCTTGGAGGATATTTTGTGACAAGTGATAACATCTCTTGAAACAGTGAAGCAGAACTTATTTTGCTATTTAATAAGACACAACAGTAGGCTTGCCAATCATGTTGTCCAGCAAGATCCTTAGACTCCAGGTTTAATAAATTCAGACCATTACTGTTTTCAGAACATTTATGCAAAGTTTTGTAACGAGAGGCATCTAAATTTTTGTGTTTCCACATCCATTGTCTAAGCTCCATACCTGATGCAGAGGTAATTATCACCAGTATCAGAAAAAGGCAGGGTGCAATAAAAATCTGTTATAGATCTGTATCCATCTACCTTAATCTTCTAATGAAAACTCTGAGAATAAACAGTGACACTGGTTCATGATCCATTTGAAGAACAAAGACTTTCAGTCTGCTAATAAGCTGAAACTTTAAGGAACAGGAAATAGTTTCATTTAGCAACTGGAGGTGAATGGGTAGCCTGGGACCAGGTACAGAAGAACAGATTCAAAAAAATTTCTTCTGATGTATAAACCATTAGTATTTTGAGGCTTATAACCATTTCTACACACTCTGTGCTTGCTGTTGAAAGATCAGAACTGCCTTACTTTTTCTTCAGGCCCAAGTCAATAGTGCAGAACACATTAAATTAGTTTACTCTTTTAGTAACATTTTCCACAATCAGCCAGCTGTCTAAGCACAGCGGCACATCTGAAAGTTAACAGACAGCCACTATTGAGAAATCCTTTGTAAAAACTGGCTCTGTGAACAAGCTGAATAGCAAAACACTGTATGTGTAATGGCAATTATCCACTTGGAACAAGAAGTATGTCCTGCGGGGCATATGAATCACTTTATAAAAATAAGCATCCCGGATATCAAGATCTCCATGAGCTCTGTCCTTTTTCCTCCCTCTTTCATCAAAATTTTATCTGAAGATGTGATTTTCACCAGCAAAAAGGGCAGTTAGAGCACTTTTTGATGAACTGCACTTAGCTGTTTCAGCCCCATACAAGTTGATATCAGAGAAACATAAAATTGACCTCGCTAATAAAAATAGTTTTCAGTATTAAATGTCTATTTCTGAGTTCTCCACAAAGAAGATTTGCCATATGTGTGCTTGTCTCTCACCAGACAGGACGGGCATCCAGTTCTTAAAGGCACATAAAAGGCAGCTCTGTGTATCTGAACATAAATTCCCAGGTTTTGAGACTAAACTCTGTTGAGAATATCTTATGGGAAAACAAAAACAGTTCCTTCATGAAAGTTCAAATGAAAATTAACATTAACGAACAAGAATGTAGCTGAGGCTAAATAACTTATTAGCAACTATTACTATCTACCTATGAAACAGGTCTCACAGGGTTTTAGGAGGCTGACAGTGCAAGCTCCCACTCATCAACTACAATACAAACTCACAGACAATATAGAGAGACTTAGGGCATGGTTTCACGATCACAATATATTCCACAGATCAGGCAATTATCTGTCCACTTGTTCCTATACCTCCATGGGGCAAGCCACCATCTTTTTGATGGATGTGGAGAATTACTGGCAGGGCTGAACTATAATCCACATCCTGGACTGCAAAAAGGAGTGCTTTTCTTAACTCAGTAAAATCCCCAATACAGACCCACAAATGCCTCTGCTACCACAACTGAACAGATGTTACACCACTCAGAGGAGAATCAAGCCGCTAGACTCAGGGACAGAGAGTTCAGAATTTCTTATCCTGACTCTCACTGAGCTCTGTTGTCAGGGTAAACCCTGCCTAACACCACAACTACTACCGTACAAAATTTACTCTAATTGTCAAAAAGATAAGCTAGCCTGCTGTGATGGGCTCCATAGTGCTACAGCTGCAATGCTTCTGCTAACTGAACCATGAAGTACTCCTCTTGTAGTCTGGGACCTGATCTAACTTTATCTGCTGCTCCATAGTTACTAGATTTGATGCAACTGAAAGGAATGAGCACAGGCATATCCAAAACCATATACTAAATGTAAGGTATGCAGTTTTGTTTCTAAAACAAAGTACTTAACACAAAAGCCAGCTAAGAATGAAGTCCAAAACCAGCTCAAGCTAATCTAAGCCAATGCTGAGGCAATCTTACCTCCTTCACTACTCTCCTCCTGTACTAATTCTGGTATTGACATTTTTCTAACCCTTGCTGAGCTGATTCAGAGTACCATCTTAGTAGTATGTATTACTTCTGCTAGACTAATTTTCTGCTCTGCTTAGTGTCCTGAACTGGCTTATTAACAGGTCAGATGAAAGACAGTGACAGCAAAAGTGTGGCAAGTAGGACCATACCTGTGCTCACTTAGAATGGTTTACGTATGATCATTTGGTATCAGGAATAGTGTGACCGGCAGAAGTGGGGAAGCGATCGCCCCCCTGTGCTCAGCACTGGCGAGGCTGCACCTCGAATACTGTGTTCAGTTTTGAACCCCTCACTCCAAGAAGGACACTGAGGTGCTGGAGCGTGTCCAGAGAAGGGAAATGAAGCTGTGAGGGGTCTGGAGCACAAGTCTGATGAGGAGCAGCTGAGGGAACGGGGGTGGTTTAGCCTGGAGAAGAGGAAGCTGAGGGGAGACCTTATCACCATCTACAACTGGTCTCTTCTCCCAGGTAACAAGTGACAGGACAAGAGGAAATGGCCTCAAGTTGCACCAGGGGAGGTTTAGATTGGGTATGAGGAAGTATTTCTCCACCAAAAGGGTTGTCAAGCACTGGAACAGGCTGCCCAGGGAAGTGACCAAGTCCTCATCCCTGGAGGTATTTAAAAGATGGGTAGACAAGGTGCTTAGGGACATGGTTTAGTGGTGGACTTGGCAGGGTTAGGTTAACTGTTGGACTTGATGATCTTAACGGTCTTTTCCAACCTAAATGATTCTATGAATCTATTCTATGAAACTACAATCTTAATGTGCACAGAAAAAATGTACCTCACAACACAAGGGAACAATTAGTGAAAACTGGGACAGGACTTCTCCACTATAAGACTGGTTAGTGCTTGAACTAGTAGTGCTAGGGATTGAAGAAAATTGTTACATGATGTGAAATATAGGTGAGAAAAGTTTCTAAAATGTTTCTGAAAGCAGTATCACAATACTATTTCCCTCAAGGACTGCAATACTAAATATCATTAACTACAAATTTTCTTTAATCCTGTCTCAGAAGATGTTACTGTAATTTCTCTACTATCTAGAAATTTATTATATAAAGGCTTTCTACAGCTCCATATTTCAGTACATGTTTTATTCTTCGTCTTTTCCTCCAATAGAAATAATTTTAAGAAGTGACTTTTTTCAAGCTCTATATTGCAGACAGTCTTTCATTGAGTTGTCACATACACACAGAATTCAAGACTTCTGGAAAAAGCCTTACTACCTAGATTTCTAAAAATCCAGTAATTTTTACTTATTTATTTACTTTTAAACCCCATATTATTCTTAGAGACATAAACAAGAACTCCTTCTCATCAAGAGGTTAGTATGGTATTCAACTATGACTCTAAGCTAATTCCTACTAGAACATGAATTATCCTCTCAAACAGATGAGGAATATAAATGAGAAAACATCTTTCCTTAGAATGCCTAAAAAGAAAGAAAAAAATTTAGTACGGACATGTTCTATCGGATTATTCCTGGATAAAACCCAGATGAAACAGAACCTCTATCATTCAATCAAGAACTTTCAAATAAATATAGTAGTTAGCTAAGTTTTGTTGCAAAATTTGTTCCCATCAATGGCAAAAACATGACAATAGGGGGGGAAAAGATAATAGACTGAAATACTACACTGTCTCTATTTTTTTTAAAATAATGGCAGTAAGATACAACTCAGTCATTAAAAACTTACCTGGGGAACAAAGTAGTCATAGCTATTCTGATTTGTCTCTACAAAACTGCCAAGTTAATGATTAACATATGCAAGATTCTTTTTAATATACGATCCACAAAGTTATTTATGATGTTATGTTGTAAAATGCAACTATTATTGTTTTCCCCTTCCAATCTCACATTCAGTAAAACTGCAAAAGATTTTTTTCTTTTCTTATGATCCACTGACTTGTAACTATCACTACAACACCAAATAAAGCATACTTCCCCCAGCTCAATTTTATAATATTTCAGTATGTCTCTACCTCAGAATCTTTGAGTCTCACATAATTAGATGGGAAAACTCCTGATTTATCACCCAGTGTTCCTGTCCACCAGTCGCCATCTTTCTTTGTCACCAGAATCATATCACCTTGTTGAAAAGTTAGGTCTCCTTGTTCAGAACTCTCATAAGTATACATAGCAATATACTCTGTAAGAGGGAAATAAATATAGAACATGGGAAAACACTTGATAAACTGCTCAATTATCATTTGCAAAACCTAACTAATATAACGTAGTCTATCCACAGGCAAGATACAAGACAAATGTATTAATTACTACTCATAGAAACCTCAATATTTAATGCATAAAGTCATATCTATCAGCACTACATACAACCTGTCAAAAGGCTGCTTCTGAGGAATGTTTTTGGTAAAATAATTTGCTAGTATAATTAAAATGTACATAAATTATTAATTTATGTCAGAAACTACTCTGCAAACATGTTTCCCATTGGCTTCTGGTTTGTGCTGATGACTAAAATTTTCAGTCTTGGGGATGGAAAGTCTCAGCATCCAAATATCTCTAGATACAGTCTTCATTTTACATATGCTGTTTGGCTCTCGTATACAATGAATTCTTTCATTACTTGAAGTTTTGCATGAAGAGCGCACATCTCATTACATCTTACGCAACAGATGGCTGGGAAATGTTAAGACAAAGCCTGAATGTGTTCTGCTTTGTTAAAACACAGTCAACTACTTAGTATTCAAGTGAAAAACACTAAAGTAGACTGATGTTGAGAAATGCAATGCATAATTCAGTCACAGAACTACATGAAAAAACTTTACATAAATGATTACGAACAAGAATTTCAGACAATTCAGTAACATTTTCTATACAACTTGATACATTCTTATTTAACTGAGCATTATCACACTTTATATGGGCACAAAACAGATTTCTGAAGATTATATCCTCTGCTCCTAAGACCAGCTCTGGACCTAAGAGCAGTTCATAATATTTCAGATAGACTTCCACACATATGTAACAAAAATGTTCAAGTATTCCTCTGCAGCTGGCAATTGGTCTACTTGCTTGAACACTAAATCTGACCAAGAAGCTCAGCTTGGGGAAGTTCAGCAAGAATTCAAACCACAATTGCTATCCTTAATGAAAGCTAAGACATGGTTTGTCTAACAACTGCCACTGAATAACACACACATCTGTTTGTATACACAATGTAAATGAACACACATTAAATATCATAACGTATGCCATACACACGGAGTTTTTCGTAAATCCTTTAAATGTAACAGAACGTGCTAAATCCATGCTTTATTATTTCTTAAAAATACAGCTTTAAAAAAAGGGTTTTATTAAAAAGCTGTGTTCCTTTTTAATATAAACATATAACCTGAGATATCCCATACTTCACAAAAAAGACTCAGCATTTCTACAATTGCTTTTCTTCAAATTTATATTGAGCAAGACTACTTTTATTTTGAAATAACTGATTATCTTACTTTCTTTGATACATGGATCTTTACCATTCCCTCCTTTTAGTTTCTGTAGTGCTCAAGCCAGTGGCAAATTAAATACAACCAAAGAGACTCTTCCGCTTAAAATCGTATGTAGAATTGTAGTTAAAAAAACTTCAGGTGTGTGCTGTAAAGATTATATACAAATGCTCATTTGTAACCTATATTTAGATTCATTGATTTACTCTGTGATTTAAATTAACCTAGCTGCCTCTGCACTGAAGTGGATTAAGAGTGCCCACAGTCTGTTAACACAGCTGATGTGGAGACATTAACCTCCAGCTGAAGGGCGGTAACAGCCAAGAATGCAAGTCTTTTAAAACCCTTCAGAGGCCTGACAATTATCTGTCTGTGCCCCAGGCTTCATCTTTAAAAATGAGGGGTGGTCTTGACCATAAAGATCACAACATTCTGTAACTGAATTAGGAGCTTTAATGAAACATTGGAAATGAGCTTTGGGTGAAATTGAGACATTTAATAATAATTCCTGACATCATGAAGTACATGTACAGGTGTGCTTATTTGGCCCTCTGCAAAAACCCACTGAGATCAGGAATTGTTACCACAATATTTATAAAAGAAATAGTACAAGTTACAGACAATATTTTAATGGCATGTGAAATTATTTCTTCTATATACAAAACATACATAAATTATCACTATAGTAATTTAAAATCATTCTAGAGGCAAATTGATTTACACTCTGATTTTAACAGGCCTGATCTTAAAACACTAAAATCTGATTTTAAATTTGATTCTGGTAATAAGCAGACTTACTCTATTTAATTACACAGTAAAATACTATTAATGCCATTCAGTTTGAAATACTTACCTTCACCTGACATAGTTGCTTTTGTTGCTGGTGATGCTACTCTTTTCAGACTAGCAGGACTTTCTGAGGAACCAGAATCCATGCTTTAGAAGAAAATAACCGTTATTTAAGAAATTACATCTCTTCAGAAAAATTATTATTATATTTAAAAACTAAAAAATGCATATGCAATCATAAGCAATTCCCTACATTTTAAAAGAAGAGACAGTAAATGTGCAAATTAAAGTTTTTAAGTACAATGGCCAGTCATGGTTACATTTAGGTAACTGCCTTACATACACAAGTTTCTGCACCTCTTCTCCCTCAGGAAAAAAAAAAAAAATCTAAAATAATTCTCATTTGTATTACTAATGTTAATGTTGCCTTCACATTACACAGAACCAGATTGTGATTGTTTCATCCTCCAAGAGCAGTAAGTGATTAAGTTTTGAGGTATGCTTTTTTTATTCTGGGGAAAGATAAGCTATGACTTACATTGCTGTAATTCATAAAATCCAATACACTAATTTTTTAGTTGCAAGTCATATATAATTAAGAGCATTCATTAAGCTTTAGATCTTTTTGTTGATGACCCAAGGAGAACTGAGGTCAGTTTTCTTATTCCTCGCACGAGTTTCCAGGGTTGGAAGTCAAAATGCCCCGAAAGAGTCTTGTATTAAAAAAAAAAAAAAAAAAAAAAAGCATTTTTACAGAGTAGATTCTAAACTTTAAAATTCAAGTGTGGGACTCTTCATGTTTATTTAACTATTCCAGTATCGAAGTAAAGTATGGCAAAAAGCAAATAAAATACCTCGTTGACTTCCTAATGGGGCCTGAAATAAGCTTCACATACGATTTAGGAAACCACCCCTTTTGTCCTTGAACCTCTCCAAACCACCACATATCTTGCTGTTCCAAAACTGTGATGATATCATTTTTGTTGAAATTAAGGTGGTTGTCTTTCTTTGCTCTCCAAGGATACAAAGCCTGTGCTTGAAGCCCCTCCACTTTTTCGCCCTATATGCAATTTTAAAAAAAAAAAAAAAAGAGGAGTCATGTACCACCTTTCATAAAGAAAGCTGCTTAAGGAGCTATATTCTTACACTATTTATATAGCAACAAAACACTCAGACTCTCCTTCAACTGTATAAAGCAAAGTCAATTAAACTTACAAAGTAAGACCAGAAATGTTCACTGTCTTCCTACATTTCTATCTGTTAACACATAATCAATACAATGCAAGATTATCAGAGATTTTGCTTAACAAGTTAAATAAAGTTTTACAATTAAGATATACACACAATACACCTTCATGAAGCTATTTTGGCAGGACTTAAAGTAAAATTTATGGAAAATGATGCCTTGCTACAAGTTACTCATTGTATTTTCAAACTTTTGTTTCACTCTAAGATACTAAGATATTCAGCATTTTTCAGAACACATTAGCTTTCAAGAACAGTATGTTGTTCAGTTGAGGAAAAGGAAATGCCTTAACAGATGGACAGAATTCATCTGATGTGAAGCTTTGCCATTGCTATTCCACTTAACTACATATTCACTTTGGAGTGAAGGTTATTGTCAATGTGATTCAGGAAAGCCCCAAGGAAGTGACCTATAACTGGCATCCTGCCAAAACATTAAAACTGGACCACCAAAGTCTAAAAAAGCCAGTAGAGAACAGCAGAACAGAAACCACTTCACGTTAAATTCTACCACCAGTTTTGCAAGGGGATGTACACCACCTGTCCATCACTCCAAACTGAAATAGCTCACTTATCTCAGGGGACTGTTTTAATGCACGGTTAATGTTCATACTTTGCTTTCCAAACATTTGTGCTGAGTCAGAACAGTTTTAACAAATATAGGTGCTCACCTGACCCAAGACGGGAGAGGGAGATGATCCTGTAACAGTGGCAGGAGTGAAGGCAGATCTTTGACGCAGCTGCCCTGCACTGGGAACAGTCAAAGATGGCTGAGCTGCCCAGGCATCCCAGTTATCGGTCTCTGGTTTCTCGCTCGTGTTTGTTGGCCATCTGAAAAAAAGAGAATGCCGTAAATCCTTCCATTTTCAACTGAATAGAAACACTCATGCAGGAAGATCATTCAGAAAAAAAAATTCAACATTCTAGGTTGATTTCTTTCAACTGAATATTCCATGAGCATCATAACTCTCAGGTGGAATTAATGCAGTCAGACAGGCTAGCAATAAATTTATCTTAAAAAGAAAAAGGCATTCTCTAAATACAGTTGCTTGTCCTCGCTACTTAAGGCCAGCTGTTCCTATAATTAGTTTCATTTCTTAGCTGTGCCTCAATACAATAGAAGTAGTGCAGTATATATTATACACAGTGAGAGGTAACAGAAAAAAAAAATCATCACGGCTTTCAAAACTGGCTTGAAACCTTCACACCTGCACGTCACTGACCTCTCACATTCCTTTCCCTTAAATAAAATTTTGCTGCTTCTCATTCAAATCCTTACCCTTTTTCTTTTGCTTAAAATGATTTCATACTGACTTGTTTCAATTTAGAGTTTTATGCAACCTCTTATCCTTTTTATGTTATCGCTTGTCCCTTAAAAAGCCTACTAAATCTCATAATCCATATATCTTCCTCCAGATTTGTTAAATTAACAAAAACCCCTAAACTCTAGAAGTGTAAACAAAGCACTTATCTATAACCTAAGTTTCCTTTGCCTGTTACTTGTGCTATTGGTTGGAATAATCAATTGCTGTCCACTTAAATTGTAATATTGTTCAAAGGCCACAACCATCTCTAACCCCTGTATCATGTCCAGGACAGTATTATTAGTATAAGTGCTCTGGGACTCACTTTGTATTGAAACCGAATAGTAATTTTTATGAAAAGTGTGAAAGCACCTAGGGTAGAAACAGCTTTGTCAAAAATACGATTTATTCAAAACAATAAAATCCAGCACAGGCCAGATATCTCCAGGAAGCTCAAGATTTAGTTTTACCCTCCCCCCTCAGAAAAATAACTGTTTGTTGTAAAAGAAAAAAAGTTTAAATAACTAGAAAAACTACTGTGACCTTTTGAAATAGAATGCATTATGTACTGTAATATTGCACTAAGAAATTAAGTTTTAATTTATAAATATGTATTACATGATCAAAAGATAAGACAATTACTTACTCGACCCCTTTTACATAGGGTTGATAATACTGCACAGAGCATTAATTTGAGTTAACCAGACATATAGGGAAGGGCAAACGTTCTACTCGCATTGGTCCTATTAATGTTGTGATAAGGAATTAATAAATCATCTTTTCACATTAACTCTGTCATTACCATATTTTGCGTAATCCAAGTTGGAAACCTCCAATGAGGATTAGCGTCAACTAATTTAAGAGAAGGAAGGTGAACACCTTGGGATTCCACCATGTCACCATGATCACTTAGGAACAGCTCCTTTTTGTGACGTGTCCTTCTCCATTGCTCAGGCAGATATGATGGAAGCATGGTTGAAGTTCCACAAGGCTGTGATTTTAACTACTTACTCTGGAAAAAATATTTTACTTCAAACAAGCTATTTTTATTTTGCAGTCTTGATACTCTGTGTTAACTGCCACCACAGTCAAATCAATTAAAAAGGACTCCACCACATTTAAGGTGATAACCACTACCCAAACATACGTTGAACTGAAGTCTGCCCAGTTATTGGCAGTTGTGGTACACTCTGTAGAAGCAGGAGTTCCTAGTGATGTAGTGGTTTCATGCACAGAAACTTTAGGTGCAGCAGCTGCCTCAACTGCTGGCTTTACAGAAGCGGGGACTTCGTTTTCAGGTATTTTCTCTGCATAGTTTGCAGGGAACCATCCAGTTTTCCCCTTCAATTCTCCACCAAGCCACCCTGGTTCTCCAGTCTGGCTTTCATCCACCTGCAGATGTATTAAGTTAGAAAGTTAAGAAACATAACACACACATGGAATTTTTACTTAAAACAATCCATCTCATCCACAGTAACTAACTTTCTCTAGTTACAGAGACATGACACCTTCATTACAAATACAAGTTCCACCTAGGTAGAATTTTGTTGCTGTCATTTAATTTACCATCGGAGGATTATGTTGACAGCTATTTCTGCTACGGCATATTAATAGATGAGGGAACATTTTGGCAACGCAATACTGCTTTGCAATTCTTTTTTTTTTTTTTTTTGATTTTTTTCCCCCAAGCCAAAATCAAAAGGATTTCTTGGTGATGAAGTAAAAAAGTTTTATTTCAGTCCTAACGCATAAGCCAAACATGGGTTTTTAAAGAGTTGCTTGGAAGTCTGTCATAGTACAGCAAACTTGGGAGAAGTGAGTTCTAAAGAAATCCCTTAAATACTGGTATTTCTGGTTTAACTAACACAAAATGCAGTTTTTAACAAGTTTTCCTAGATTTTCTCTTCCAGAAAATACAACAAAAAACCCACACCATATGAAAACCAACACCCATCAAACAATTCAAAACAAATCCACAGATTTGCTCATATATTTATACAAAACAATTCCATGGTAAGTTTTCATACGTAAATTTACAGGTCTCTCTTCTTTCCCCTCACTGACATCTTTGCCAAGCCATAAAGGACTGGATGAAACAGGGCTATTTTTGCAGCTGTATTTTAATTCCTACTTATTGATTATTACAATTGTGTTAAGCTATGATTTTGCAAATTTCACATTTTCCTGTTAAATTTCTTAAACACTTCACACATTCATTCTCCAAGCTCTACTGACAGACTACTGTCTTAGCCTGCTATTTCAACAAAAGTTTAAATTCTGTGAGCTGCAGCTAACCATATTCAGCAAGAATCAGAGAAGAAAAGTAATTCACTATTGCTACCCCTGGTGAATTGATACAGTGGCTAAATACCTCCAAGGAAATAACAGTTGCAGAAACTTTTTAGAAGAAAAAAAGGCAATAATTACATTCTGTAATAATTTTGGTAAATTGGGTGTTCTAGCTATCTAATCTCTTTGATAGGTCAAAAGAATCTCAGTTTTCAAGCAAACCCTTACATATGAATAGGGTTTGCACCTTTGATATGTAAATAACACCTACTTTGTACTACAATCTGCTGTGCATAGCTGCAGATTCCCCAGCAATGGTCAAGTCAGCAGTAAAACCAGGCCAGTAATGAAAAGTCAGATGAACAACCCTACACAGTGGCTAGTTTTTGGCAAGAATTTCTCTCATCTGTTTAGGCCAGTAGCAGTCAGTATTTCAAAATATGTAAGAGTTTCAAACAACAGCTTAACTCAAGAGTTGTCTATGGCAGGTACTTCTAAATCTCCAGATACTATTTCATAAAAATCCATTATCAATGTGAGGGATTTGCTGATAATAGAATGCTTTGTAAGCTAAGGAATCAGACATAGTGTCCTTTGCAGTCAAAGATGTTTTCAGTATATGACATTATACAAAAATAGCATATAGTAGTGTCTCGAGTGGGATGGGAACACACCTACAAATTCACACTATCAATTTTAAGAAAATATAATCTGATCAGCTGCTTGTTTGGAGAAAAAAAAATAGCGGCAGAAAAAAAATGGTGCAATGGTGCAAACTAGTTGCTCTAGACTAAAGGTGGGACCATTATTTTGCCTAGAAGTGACTGAAACAGAAGCAGCAAAGCTTCTGCTTTGATTCCTTCTTTTTTCTGCTTCTTTCATTTTTCTGCTTTCTTTTTTTTTTTTCCTGCTTCTCTGATTGTCCCTGGTCTACTCATTTAAGCTGCTGATAGATTGCTTTCCTTTAGGCCAGTTGTTGACTCTTTGACTGCCTCCTATTGTAATTTGTATCCCACACCCCTCTTTTGGTGCAAAACAATCCATTATTTCTGCTTTTTGTTGGGTCCATCTTCTGTCTCAGTCCCTATTAACTCAAAGCAAACCCAGAAATAAACGGACTACATGCTTGACTGGTTCAATGTGGTTTTACTGCAGTGCAGAGCAAAATTTCCACTGCAGCACTGACTAGGATTGTTAAAGCAGCAGTATGAGTGATGGAAGGTCACAGCAGAGGGTGAATCTCGGAAGAGAGCGGGAGAAATGGACTATCAGCACCTGATGCCAACTGGAATGATCTAAACAGTAATAATACTCACATGGTTTCTACTCTCATTCAATTGGTCAGGTAGTAACTAGAATCACTAACATAAAAAAAAAAATCAGGACTGAGAAGCCAAAAATCTGTTATGGTGATGTTCTGAAAAGGGCATCTTCGAAGCGAATCAGTCTCATACAGAACCCACTGCGATTTTTCAGAAAGAATGTTTTGTACCAGCAGAGAAAAAAAAAAAAACCACACCCTACCAAAGGGTTTTAAAACCAACTGATTTAGTGTCTCTTTAGAAGACAGTTTTAAATTAAAATAATTCATAACACAGCCTATTAGGATAGTCAAATTTATGGTTATTCAATCCAAATAAGTTTTCTATGTATAGAATATATATGTATTCATGAAAAGGCACTTTGAAGGATAACTAACTCTATAATTCATTTAAAAAAATCTGGTTTCTCAGTTATTCATATAAAATATGATTTACTTAAGTTTTTGTAGTACAGCAGTGGAACTTTAAATAAATTAATTTGTTCTCATTTCCTTATATTTTTATACCCACCACCCACAAGTCCCTAAAACAAACTATCCCAGGTTATTTTTTTTTCCAAAATACAACTGGACTTTAAATGTACACCTGAATAGCAAGTTATATTGTGCATGGGTTTATTTTTTATTTATTCAACTGTACTTTAGAGCCACGGCTTACAGCTACTTCGTTCTCGCAACTGAACACAAGTGACAGAAGTAACAGCAACACCACAACTCTTTGCAGCAAAAGCAATAGGTTCAGTTAGTATCTCTGTCAACAGAAGGACTGGCTTTGCAGTGGCCTACTCCACTTTGACCTGGCTTTTGTATCACCAGCCGTTCACCCACACAAAAAGAGAAGCCCTGTTTTACAGTAGATATCCACGTTACACATGAAGCAAAACCCTAATACTCTCAGAAAAAGTATTTAATCAAAGCTAAACAGAGTACCATCAATCTGTTTTGTTCAATCCATTAAATGAGCATTTGAATTCTATTCCACTTGTAGGCTTTTGATCTGGATATTTTGAGACTACTGGAATTCCTGTTATAAAGTTGAATATAAGCCCTGCAGGCCAGAGGCCATATGCTGATTACGCCTACACAGGATCTAACACAATGAGGCTGTCTATGGGTCTAATAGAAAGAACATTCATTCTAACCCTCGCAATCAATAACTAACACAACTGATGAGAAACTATCATTATGAATTTGTTTTAGACTTTCCATGGAAGCTTCTTTATGAACTTCCTGTTTAACTTACATTCTCCTGCTATCAGAGCCACTACAGTTCAGTAACTCAATAGTTCACCTGTAATTCATCGAATTATGCTTAAGTTTATTTAAACAAACTGTATTATATAAAACATTACCAGCAACAACAGAATCCATTCATTTACTTCAAGCTGGAGCCTAGCAGAAGCAAATGCCAGCAGGACTTGCTTCATAAGAGAGCTATCCAAAGGAAAATAATTTCATACATTGTATACATATACTCATACACATAATAGAAACTTAACCTCTTGAACATAGAGAGCCCTGAAAGAGGCATAGCCTTCTTGGCTCAGATTATTTGTTCCCAGACAAAAGTTTGGTTAAGTTATAGTTAGGATTATCAATCAATCTATTTTACAGTGAAAGAAATTTAAAGGACGTAGAAAGGTAAGAAGCAGAGAAAGTAAAAATCCAAGATAAGAGAAAAGATAAAAGTCCTGTAATTAAAAATGGAAGAATTAAAAAAAAACAGTCCACACCCCACACATTCTCTAAACTGGTACACAAGATACATAGTGCTACAGATAACTAACACTTGTACTGGAAAGTCAGGCAGAAGGAAGCCCTCCTCAAATTTGCAAATACTTTCCTTTTCAGAATAAACCCTCATCCTTCTCCCTTATTTCCACCAAGACAGGTCTCAAGATTCATGCACAGTGTAAAAGTGCATTACACTGTTGTAAAAACTATTTACAAGCTATACATCTATTAAAGCCACAAGTCATTCTGACATAATGAATTCTGCAGTCCTGTTTACATCCAGGATTTAGGCCTGGTTCCCATGTGCACAGTCAATGGATTTGTGCTTCAGCTGGATTCTTTGCTCACGGCAGTTACAGTTTGGGTGGCATCTGCTGTACAGCTATCTGATTACTGGACATGATTGCACAAGCCTGCAGACACAAAGCTGCTTATAAGTGTTAAAATGGTGAAGTGCTAAATTTGCCTATGTTGGAACACTGTTATTCTAAGCAATACTTACTTTGTTGCACACAGCAAACTCCTAGCTGTATAGGTCAGCTTAACTACAGAGTTGCATTTATGTCATAAATTAGACACACTTTAACATGTAAGCTTGTAAATTATTACTTTCCAAAAAACGTAACCAACTCAAACCTTTTAGAACCACAGGACACGACAAACACTTAAGGACAAAGAAGAGTCTAGGAGTCCAAATGCCCATTATCAAAAGTAAGTTCTGGTCCATTGCACTTAAATTACTTTTGACAATATGAGCTAGTTTGTTAATTTTACCCTAGGTGAATTCAAAAACAAGTAAACTACATGGTAACAGAATCTGTACTAGTGAAAATGAATAAATTGCATAGACTTCCTAACAGTCATGTCACACTTACCCATTCCCTTTTAACCTCCATCAGGAAAGCAATGATTTAAAGCAAGGCAGAATTATAACACATTTCACAAAAGTGTCTTACTTATATCAACTTTTCCAAGAGTAGCCCATTTAAGCAATTACCATGGAGCAGGAGATAAATCCCATAAGAATCAGTCATCAGATTTAATTATTGTCAAAAGTAAGTTAAATAAAGACAACTGAGAGCAGTTACTCTACTTTTGCAGAGTAGTCCAGAAGTAACACATAGGAAGACTCAGATTACCTCAAACTCTCTATTTAAAACGTGTGAAGTGTTCCTTAAAATCATACATTTTTGGCAAAAATGTTATTCCCCTGCAAGTCAACCTTAACAGTGATCACTTATGCCTAGACTACAGTCTATTTCCCAAGAAAGCAAGACAACGCAGCATTTTTCAATAGCCTAAGGAGACCCATGTACCTGTATCCCCTCTCATTTAAGAGCTGACTGACCAACGCTATCTCTTGATGCAGAATAACACCACATTGCATTGTTATTCAGGATGGCATTGGGCCTTTTCCAGAGTCATTCAGTAGTGCTACTAATCCAGGATTCACCTTTTATTTTCCAAAAGCAGATTCTAATGTCACAAACACTTCAGTGTGACACAGCTGAATCAACAAAAAAAACCCCAACAAACCAAAAAGGCTGAGAGATGAAGGCTCATCCCTCCAGAATACATGCTTTTAAAAAAATAGTTGTCTTCACAACTTATGAGAGTCTACAAAGTGTATTTTTTCCAAAATCCGTTCTTACTTAGCTGTGCCAAAATACAATAGCTCTTAATATCTATTTTGTTGGGTAGAACACTATAATGAATATACTTCTCCCCCAGTGAACAAGGTATCGTTTAATAATTACACTAGGAATTTTCATTATGAATAGACATATGCGGGTTAAGATCATAATAGTAATTTATTAATATTAATATACACATTTAATAGTTGCAGTCATTAACAACTGAACTGTAATTTTAGTGATAATTAGAGACAAAAGCAGAATATTGCTTTAGAGTTTAACCCAACAATTACAGGCTGACCATATCTCTGTATCTCATATACTTAAAAAAAAGGAAATTATTCTGTATCAACACACCTCCAATCAAATTCTTAGGTTTTGAATTTTGCATTTTTTAGAAATGACATTTTATCTACTGTATATTCTCTTTAAAATAAATTTAAAAGTATCTCACAAAAGAGTTAAGCAGATAAAAAGAAAAAAAAGTTATCATACAAACAATTCCGTTACAATTATACTCAATTATGTCAAAAATTGTCACCAAAATAGTTGTATAAAAAATTTCCAGTAACACTGAGGAAGTATCATCACCACACAAAGCCTATGGTAATGTTTATGTGATCGTGACAGAACTGTAGCCATCTTGTAGTTTAGTGTAATTGTTTCACATAGTATTACACTGCACATCATATTCTCTTCATATAGGCAATTTTCCAAATTAAAAATTTTACACTGCTCTTGTACTATTCTTATAAAAAGGTAAGTTTCTTATTACAAACATACTTTATCAAAGGCAGTTTTTGATTCAACACATAATAGCCACTCTCTCAACAGAAAATAGCAGTAGCTTTATTCTCTAGATACCTTGGAGGACAAGAAACCTCTCACTGAGATAACTTCTGTAAAGGAACCTTTTCAAACATTTTGACAGACACTCACAGCTCAGCATACTAAAACTGATACAATCTTCTCACAGATTATACCTAAACTTTACACTTGCAATGAACTGTAAGAAGCTATCCACTATTATAATAGGGTTACTACGTATACTATCACATTGTTTCGGTAGTCACTGAAATACTTTTTCTCAAGTCTGTAAAAAAATCTTGGTATATATAATTTCAATCACAGGAGTGCAGAAGCTTAAGTAATTTTTTCAAGTAATATCACAGTCTCTTCTTACCATGACTATGTCGCCAGGCTGAATAGTGATTTCATCGTGGCTTCTTGATTCAAAAGGATACAGTGCTCTATAATACACTATTTTTACATCCTCCTGAGCAGAAATGGTTAGAGGAGCTTTTTCTGAGCAAGGGAAAAACCACACAGATACAAAGGGGAAAAAAAAAATTAAACCATGTTATTTAAGTATTTGCAAAATGAGGTGAAAGTGGAGACAAAAATTAACAAACTTTACATTGTCTGTAGGAAGTATATTATCCCACGTTTACAAAAGGGGGAATACAAAAATAAATTATTTAAAATACGATTTTCTTACTATTTTCTCTTCTAAACTTCAAGTAAAATATTACTATATTTTAACTTTCATGATATACACAACTATTTTCATAGAAAGAATCACGTACTTATGATGACTTATATATGACTTCTCAAATGCTTCAGTGATTTTGTAGGTTAAATCTGATCAGCCATAGGTTAATTCAAACAGTGTTTTTCTTGCATACATCAATGATATCCCAAATATTTTTAAAGCTTGCTTGTGTAGCAGCTTTATTTGCAGCCTGACTATACCTCCAATAAAGATGTTTCAAAATGTCCTGATAAATACAGATGGTGTTTTAAAAAAATTACATGCTAAAGATGCATTATTAGAAAAAGCAGAATACAGAAAAAAACCAAAGACATAAGCTTAATTTCTCTTGTATAATTCACTTCCTATTTTGCCTATTTGGTCATAAAAGTGCCCTCTGCTACTCTGCACAAATAAAACCTAGCAAGAGGACATATTGGATTAAGTCAGTTCTAGATTTGGGCTGAAAGACAGAGAGTAATTTCCCCTTTATGCAATCCTTTGATCAAATATTTAAACAAATACTACATTCCCAATCAGTTCTCTTGCATATGCACCAAAGCCACTTAAGAGGGAACCATGATTCCCAATATGGGCAAGAATCAGGTTATAATGCAGAGAAAAAGCTCTCATCTGAAAGCAATTGTGTGTGTAGCAGAAAAAAGGGTATTAGATCTCAGACTGCAGGTCATTTGTTCAGTGAACAACATGCATGGGGAAGGGGGAAGAGGAAAAAGAGTAACTAAATGACATATTGCTACTACTCTAAAAAATCTCAAGGCATATATTCCACACCAAAATAAGAACTGTAAAAAAAAGCACAGAAATAATTTCTGATGTCTTATATCAAGATCTTAAAAACTTGGCACTGTGAGTCTCATCAACTGTGCTTTACACTCTGCTAAACACCATACTTTCAGGAAGAATAGTGAAGCCTAAAAGAACAACTTTTTGGACTCTTGAGCTCAATCCATATACAATTTACTTTAATGACTAGCAATCCAATATTGAAACATATTCTTCTCTATTAAATAGAAAGATAAAACAGAAAACAATTGTTCAAGAGCCATGTGCAACAGCATTTCTTGATTTTTTTCCTCTACCTGCAGTTGACCAAGGAGCCTGGACAGCTGGCTTGATTGGCTCTTGATGTGGTTGGAAAAGCTTACTCAGTTTCTCTTGCATTTCCTGTTTCCCCTTATCCTCACTTTCCTTCTTCTTGGTTATTTCTTCCCTTTTCTGCTTTTCATCTTCCTGAATTTTTTTTGGCCACTGAAGTTCTTCTTCTGGTTGCACTCGATCAAGCCGCTGTTTATCCCGTTCCTGGATTCGCCTGTTGGACAATTAAGGTGGTTTTTTAAGCCAGTCAAAGAAAAGACCATAAAAGTTGGTAGTCCTTGTGAGTGATCTATAGTATGAAGCGTACTCTTTATGGCTTTTGCGTACCCTGTAAGAGCTGTTAATTTTATTTTGGTGAGTTATCAACCACTCCACAGCATCTTCTTACACAATGACTCCTAGAGGGCAAAGGAAAAATATTCAGAAAGATTTGCTATGACTTGATATGTATTCATAAAGAAAGAGCTGTGACTCCCAGACAAGTGAGAGAACACTATTTCATGTAACCTACTACTAAGCACAGGCCTCCATTAACTTCAGTTGCTTTATCTTTGCATTTAAAAAACTACCTTTAATATATTTTATTTAAGTCACATATCAGTTCTGTATCTTCACAATACAATTCCACAGAACTCTAAAAGAGATACAGAGCAACCCGAGCATAGAGAAATTATAAACTAGTTATGTTTTGGAGCTGAATCTAAGATGGTAAAAACATTCAATACTGTTTTTTCTTGTCAGAGTTCTTCAGAGATTTGTAAATGCTAAACTTTACCTTCTTTATGGAGGCAGTGATCTCTTCTCTCAGTGACATAAAAATAAATATATTTACCTGTCTTTTCCTAATTATTGTATGAAACTTTACACAGGTATCTTAGAACAGTTGCTTAGTCAATGCTCTGAAAATTATAAGCTTGATAACATTGATATCTTACACTTTCAGTCCCACTTCTTCAACAACATCTGAGTCTCAACTTTGGGATTCAACAATATTTATGTATCCTCTTTTCATAGTCTTCCATGGGATTCATAAATCCTGTCCTATGATTCTATTATCATCCTGGTGGCACTTCTCTGGATTCCCCTCCGGCCTGTCCACATCTTTTTTGTATCGCAGGGACCAAAACTGAACACAGGATTTCAGGTGTGGCCTGACAAGCGCTGAGTAGAGTAAAATAGTGACTTCTCTACCTCTGCTGGTGATGCTCTTTTTGATGCAACCCAGCCTCCTATTGGCCTTCTTGGCCGCAGCAGCACACTGCTCACTCATATTGAGCTTTCTGTCCACCAGGACCCCCCGGTACCTTTCCACAGAGCTGCTCCCCACCTGGGTAGATCCCAGCCTGTGCTGGACTCCTGGATTACATTTTCCCAGGTGCAAGACCTTACATTTGTCTTTGTTGAACTTCGTAAGGTTGTTAGCCCACTCTTCCAGCCTATCCAGGTCTTCCTGCAGGGTGGCTCTCCCTTCTGAAGTGTCTACTTCCCTACTCAGTTCGGTATCAATGGCAAACTTCACCAGGAAACACCTGATCCCATCATCCAGATCACTTATGAAGATATTGAACAGTATGTTCATTTGCAAAGTATTCAGAGCCAATTACTTAGCAGTTTTGTTGCAACACCGAAGCTGCACCACATACACATAAAGAAGTCTGTTTTCTTTTCACTTGAGTGAGTTTAGTCAGATGGGCTTTAGATGGGAAATTGAGTTTTTAATTATGTTTCTAGCGGAGTGATTAAGTCTTCCCATACTTATAAACCTCATTTGCTCTAACTGCTGGAGTGAGAAGAGCAGACTAAAATGTATATTGGGGGGGAGGGGGAAGGGTATGTGATCTTTCTTCCTTCCACAGAAGCTGCAGAATTGTCTTCTTGGATTGTTATGGAAGCTAAAATCATGAGTTGAAGACAAGGAAGGGAATAAAAAGAGACAGAGAAGCTAAAGAAACATAAGCCTAGGTGTGAGATCCACAGCTTGGGGTTACGAATAGAAAACTTAACATTCTGCTCTTTTCCTTTCTTAAAGACTCCTGATATGCTAATTATTGTGGAATATGACCTCTAATTTGGGATTTACCTATACTTGCTTTTACTCTTTTAATTTTCTTTTTTCTCTCACCAAATGCATTATACCAACTCAGGCAGTTCTTATCCCAAACGCCAAAAGTAAGCTCTATTCATTGTACTCAAATGGGGGTGGGGTGGGTGTGTAGGTGGGTGTAATTCCCCTCTCTGAACTCTGTATTACTCCCACAATTACACAAGACTGCATGTAATTAGCCTTAAGATAATTAACACTAATTAGCCATTAGAGGTCTTCAGAAAGATCTCTACCACCCCCAAATATGTAAGTCTGTATCTTTGTTTGCTCAATTAAGTTATGTGCACATTTCAGGGCATAATTACGAACAAAAAATTGTTAAGATGATTCTCAGTATAAAGTGACTGTGGTTATCCATTAAGCCAAAGGTTAAAGTGCACATGATTATGATCTTAAGATTATTTTTTCCTTCTTTGCTTTCACTAGAGCTATTAAAAAGCAACATACTTTTGTAATCATTATGGGGCAGTATCCAGGTTGAGTATTAATCATTTACCTTATTCATTTTGGTGTCTGTTGGAAGTCAGTAAGACTGGCAGACTGCTCATTAGCAGGTATACCAATTACGATAATTTAGAAGCTCGAATATTTGGGCAGCATGAAGTTTTACATTACTAATAATATCTGAATGCTCAGCTAGCATGAAAAGTCAGACATGAAGTTTTCCATGGCAGAAATTTTTTCCTTTTAAAAAGGAAAAATCTGTTAAATTCGTTTTTTAAACTTCCATTTTTCTGGAAGGGAGTATTTATTTAATATTTTGAAGTGTTCCTATACTCCCAGTACCTCAGCAGCCTTCTTGTTTTCAAGGGAAGTTCCAACATAATTACCATATTTAGTATGGTTATTTCTTTGTGATAGAAAGCTGTTTTCTTAGCAAGTTTTCTATTTCTCAAGTTAATCTTTAAAGTTTTTAAAGGCATAAGTTTCATGCAAATGATTTTAAGAAGTATCTAAACTTAATTGTTTCTATGTATAAGATTTCTGTTTGAAGATACAGGTTTCACTGAAACCTTGTTTTGGTTTTGCCTGAAATGTAAAAATTAACTTGACTCACCAAATAGTAACACAGGTGATCAATTTGCTTTATGTCACAGTCAGTGTAATGCTATAACCAATAATTTAACACCCCTTGTTCCCCAGCCTTTATTTTCAACGCTTGACCAACATCTGTCTACATTAAGAGCATAAAACCCCCACAACTGCTAAAAATTAAATCAAACACCTACTGATAAATTAAGTCAAAACAGAATTGGTTGCTAGCCTATATGCCGTTCATTTTATTTAAATATATCATAAACACATGTAGAAAAACAAATTTGAGAACATGCAGAAAAACAAAGCATGCAGCAGAAAAACATTAGCTCCACATTTCATGTTGGTATAAAAGACAGAGCTACCTAGTTACACTGTTCAAGAACCTCTCTAGGTGTCAAAGTACACTACACATTTAAGTAACACTGCTGAAATCTGTATCTATCACTGAGAGTTAGGAGTCACAGATAGATGTAGAAGCTCATCTCCACAGCACACTTCGCATTCAAGCATAAATCAAGAGGTTCCCCTAGTTTTATGAGGGATCAAATGCACTGAAATGAAACTTGGTCTAGGTCTTGGGTATTCTTGCCATTTAGTGATATATTATTTGAGATCAGATTATGCTCCTGGAAATGCTAAGTTTATTTTACTTGTTTGTAAAATGCTTTGCATTTTAACATTTCTACAGAAAGGGCTTAAATTAGAGCAGTTTCTTACCTTTGAGCTTCTTTCTGCTTTTCCAGTTCTACTGTCTTCCTTTCTTGTTCCTTCTGTTTCAGCCTCTCAGCTTCCAAGTTCTTTTGCTTCTGTAGTTGCTGTTTGTTATGTATTTCTCTCAGCTCCTAGAGAAAAAGTAAAATATGTGTAAACATACACTATGTGAATCGTAACTAATGGCCCCATATAATTCATTGTGAAGTAACACAACTTGCAAATGGTTGGATCTCTGTTCAAATTTACAGTATTGCCAACTGCATTGGCAGACATTTAAGGTAGATTTCAAAGGTCTATAAACCACTTACTGTTTTCCTATTTTTATCCATATAACCTGAGATGTTCAAGGGTTAAGAAACAAGAAAGCCTTTTTTAAATGGGACTCTAAAAAGTTGACAGAAGTTTGACAGAGCTTAATCTGAAAAATCACTTATGTTTTATTTTGTTTGTTGAATTGATTTATTAAATTCCATACAAAAAATCTGCCTTCTGAGCTGCTCATAATAGCAACTGTTTCAATTAATCAGTTTTATCTTGAAATTAACGGTGATTTACTAAAGAATTTTCAGGATTGTTTTATACCCAGGAGACTGAATTCTTTAAGCAACGCCTTTGGGATGAATCATGGCACCAAGAGTATTCACCCATATACAAGCCAGTTTTCCTCTAATAAACTGGAAAGACATTACCTGAAACATTTAGAATATAAATAATAATAAAAACATCATCTTTTCCTCAAGATTGTTTTCTGCATTAACACCTATTAACACACATACAAATTTTATCCTGGATCTCTTTGCATAACCTAGAATTTTGCATCTGAACTCCTCAGTATCACAAGGAAAAAAAAGGATAAATTTACCTATCACAACTGAAAATTTGCATTGAAAATAGTTCACTTTAAAAAACTGGTATGTTTTAATGAAAATATAGTGCAGACAAAAATATGCAGAAAAGGTTTGTAGCAGGAAATTGTTTCTAAACCTGTATCCTAATAATGTCTACTGTTATTGAAATATGTTATGACTTACATCACGCAGTTTTGTTTAGTTCTTCTATCCCTAAAAGCTTTATCTTAATTCATTCAGGGATTGAAACAGTTAATCTTGAAAGTACTGGATAGTTTTTTCAGAAATTCACAATCTATACATTCCGCAGATAAAGACTTCCTGTGACCATCCTCATGCACTGACCAAAACATAGAAAATTGCAAGAGAGAGAGAAAAAAAAACCCAAACAAAACACCACAAACCAAAAAACCCAAACAACTAATTATCAAGTGATTCAAAGGGCCAAAATGAGAGAAGTTTCAGTAAGTTAATTTCATAATATTATTAGTAACTCTTAGCTATAGTTTCATAAAAGTTGAGAGTTAATACTTGTTTATTTACAGACTGTAATTGCACTGTGTCTCAAAATTTTAGTTAGTGAAAGGAATACATGCATTAGTGCTGAACGACTGCACACTGTGCAACAAAGTTTTAAGATATCAAAATAACTACATTATGAAGAAGAGTAGCACAGGACCTTTGTAAGGTATTAAAACTACTTCTGATATATGGATAAAAGTTTAAAAAAAAGTTAAGATGAACCTCATGTCCTACCTCTCAGTCTCATTTTACTAATGATCCTCAATTTTAAATTCGATGAAAACTGAATTCAACACCATTAAAGAGATAATCAGTTCCTAGACAAGTTTTAATTAAAACTCTGCTGAGGCCATGAAACTCACTGAAATACAGGGCTAATTTAGGCAATACCATTTTTTATCATCATCATCATTTTCCATAGTCACATTAAAGCTTAGTAGATAGTTAGGATCTGGAATAGATATTACAGAATGTAAAATAAACTACTCTTGCAAAGTCACCAGCATTATTTAGGCAGGATATTGCCTTTGGGAAAATTTTTAAACCCTGAGTGTCCCTGGTTATAAACATTCATGCATAGCCTTATTCCAGACTAAGCAAAAGGGCTACTAAAAAGGAAATACATTAGCAATATTGAACATAATGAAGTTTTAGCAGTTGGTCCATGAAGCACAATGAGAAAATAAAGGGGTCGGGAGGTTGCAGTGAACATACAGTTGGTCAACTGCACCTGGAGCTAGAGGTGGCCTCTGGACTACAAATTTCTGAAGTGCTAACCAGAGTGAACAGTCATTTTTAATAAAGAAGCTGAATTAATAACATGCAGTTAGTGTTGTTACACTTGTAATATATTGAGGTACAAAGCATTTGACCCCTGTTTCAAATTAACTTCTCTGGGGGAATTAGTGCCTATCTTCTCTATGTGATCACCTGAACACTTATTTGTATTAAAAATATGTACAATGGCAAGGGACAAATATACAACTGTAAGAACATTAGCAGTAGAGTGATTTGCAACCAATCTTCTGAAGGGACATAGATTAGGAAATGGCACAGTTAAAAGCAGTTTTCCACCTGGCCAACAGTATTAGGATTTTTGTAGATTGCAGAAATCCAGAAAACAAAGTCTCTACAAAGCTCGTGAAGCTCAAAACACTACTTCTGTGAAGTATCAAACACATTGGCTTGTATTCATGATTTTTAACAAGCTGTTTCTCTCGTCTGGGTAAAGAAACCGCTGTGTAAAGCACAGGTTTCTGACTCTTACGTTTAGTTCAGCTTTAGTACAGACTTCCATTTAGAAATCCTTTGTTGTTCTACTTGCTCTAGCTTTCCTTCACGTTCACGCCCTCCCCTGTCACTTAACTTTGTACGCCAAGAAACTCAATATTCTGAGTCCTGGCCAATGACAACTCCTCCTCCTATTGAACAGAGATATCTGGGATAGTCACACATTTCTAATAAGGCAACACTGAAGATAACCTGTTGTTACTTGCAAAATTTTAAGCTATTGAGACAACAGTGCTTTCCAGGTTTGTTTTTTCTTCCCCTTTGCATCTTTATCCCAAACTCTAGTGTTTGAGCAGTTAAATAGAAATAATCACTAGGTAAAGAAAGAGGAACTAAAATTCTTGAAGAGTATGAAGGCTATGCCAGTTAAACGAAAAACCCCAATAAATCTCAAAAGCTTTAAATGAGACAACCCAGATGCAAGTATCTGAGCTTAGCGTACTTTTTAACAAGAAATTTGTGAATGAATGATTCAGTTCATCTATATACGCAGAATCAGAGGAATTTACCTCTTATTCTACCTCTATTCAGAATATTGGTATTTCCCCCGCTTCAGAAAAACTTCCTGAATTCGCAAATACATAAAAACAAGTTACAACTTGCAAGATATCTATGCACTAAACATTATTTACTTTTACTACAAGGCTAGCCCAAACTTTGTATTTTAATTATAGCTTAGATATGTAAGTTTATCTCACCACTAAATATATGATATATGCCACTTTTACTGCCAAATAGAAAAGTGGGGAAGTTGTAGCTATGAGCCATGCTTCCATGTCTGTCTGGAGCAAGTAGTTTCTTGTACTGAGTACATACAGCAGGATCATTAACTGCTGCAACACAGCAGTTAAGTGCTGCTGCCCGCTCTGGTCCAAATAACTGTATTATTTTGTTTGCTTATTTTGTCATTTTATCTATATGCCCAGCTAAGTTAGGATCTCAAGGGACATTTTAATACTTATTTATGTTCTTCGTAGACATTTTAACACATTATTCCCTCCCACTTAAGCCAATGTGCTAGGTCGGTATTTTGTTAAGGTATTTTTCTGTGACATACCTGTAACAGTTAAGAAAATCTAATCTAGCTTATACTCCTAGCACTTTATGGAATATTTTTAAAGATAAAAAATGCAATATGTATCCTTCTTTGCATTAGCTAGGAGGAAATAAAGATTTGATCGGTATCTCATGCAACAGATATGTGCTCTGTTGGCTTTGCCAAGTACTAGTGGAAGGGTGGGGGAGAAAGAATCAGCACCTCCCACAGTGTTATAGGACACCAGTTGAACAAAATTATAGTAACACTTGAACAGTCAACGGAATGAGACATTTGCCAGCTGAATATTCAGCACAGTCCTACACTCATCTCTTACAGACACAAGCAACTTAAAAGCTGTACATTTACAAATCGTATATTGTAACTCCAAAGACATAACAAAGCTTTGCTTGTTTCTGGTGTGCAGGACAAAGCAAAAATGTCTTACCTTAAAAGCAGAGAGAAATTATTACCTTTCCACTTAATTCACAAACAGACTAACAAGTATAATTTTGAGATGTTACAATAGCCACATAATATTGAATATGAATTAAAATATGAGTTTCATACAGCAGAGTAATATTCACTGTATCAGACAAGTCATATTGCTATGAAAACCTTAACATTAGAAATGTAGTTGTTTAAGCCCAAATTTTGCCTTTTGACAGAAATACAATAGAACTTAGGATACTTCAGGGATTACAATACCAGGTTTCCACCAGATCTTCTCCCCTTGAGACAAACCAGAGCATTTGATCACAGAGGAAAGAACCCTACAGTTCTGTGCTCACTGAAGCTTTCCCACAGCAATACTCTTCTACCCCATTCCTCAGCTCCCAAAGCACCTGCTTTGTCCTTGACAGAGTCAGTTCCTCCTTTCACCCCATATTATAGCTATGGGGGATTTGATAAAGGGAATGTATTTCTATCTCTCTCACACTTGGAATCACAAATTACAGTGCTGTGTAGGAATATTTAATACGAAAGTGTTTTCTTTTTAAAAATTCTGAACATCATGACCAAAATAGGCAATCAACATAAAATCTTGAAGTTTCATATAAGCAAAAGACAAAAATAACTAACTAGTACCTTGCCCAGGTTGCAATTCAAGGCACACTCCTCATCTAGGCAGTAAGGATTAGATAAATAATCAAATTATAAACTCTTCTCTTTGGTTATGTTTTAGCGCTAGCACCTCTTATTAAATACTAACTTAGTTAAACACTGCACACTCATCTGTTTATGGTAAAGTGAAGCACATAACTGGAGGAGGTTCATCACTCAGATTGAGATAGTTGTGTACTGCCTGAGTATGGCATGGAGACCTTTAGAAAGGAGTCTAAGTAGTTGACGCAGCCCAGGAGAACTGCCAGGCACTGCAGCATTGCATCTTCCATTGCCACTGACTGGAAGAAAGAAATGCTCAAATGTAAACAGGCATTCATATGCAAGACTTGTCCAGTGCACACTGACTAGACAGGGACTGACAACAACTGGAACATGACACAAAATGTAAAACATTTTTAAAAATTTGATTTTACTTGTTCACCACTTTTTCCAGGCACTGAGAATAGCTTCTCAGCAAGACTAACATATTTCACAAACACTAATGTAGTTGTCTGCTCCTGTGCAGTAACACAGATAAGCTCTAAATACCTGGTTCTTCTATGCTATATGAAATGCTTATTTGGTCTTTGGAGACAAGAACCATATTAAGAATTATCTTTATTGCTTTAATTGACAGTGTGTAATGGCTGACCTTTGTAAAATTTAAATGTAAATTCACACTGAAAGTAGAAAGAATTTGTAAAGGTCAATTATAGTAGGACTATACATATACAAACCTAATATAAAGCTTTCTATTCTACAGAATTATTTTATGAAGTAGAGAAACTAAACAAGTGCCTAGTTACATTTTACTAATAACTGTATCAATTTTAATTATTGGATTTCCAGGCTAAGATTTTTAAAGAGTAATGGAAGTTAGACTCCTTTAACAATAATTCAAGACACAAAAAAGTGGCCCAACTTTCAACCTTATTACAAACTCAGTCACTTACTCTATAGCCAAACACAGCACAATCCACAAGACTATAATCTTCTCTGATAAAATGCCTCAAATCTGATTTAAAAGGGTATCTGATCAGCTGCAGGCTAAGATATCTATTTCTCTGCCAAACAAGTACTAACAGTTTCCTGAAACCATGTGGTTCTACCTAGCGATATTCAATAAAGATACTTGAAAATACTTGTTTTGAAATATTAGTAACATTTTATACTCCAGGAAGTTTTTGTAAAGGAACCAGATTCTATCAGCATTGCCAACTCTTGAGATGTTAACTTGAAACAAAAGTAACTGAAGTTCTTGAGCTCCAAAGGACTAATCAGATAAAATTTAAATCAGTTGTTTTAGAGGGACAACAAAAGATACAGTGGAAACAAATGTTTAATTTATCTCCCTAGTCACTCATATATGCTATTAAGACATGAAGCAAAGATGAGGTAATTTAACACAAGTATTCACTTACTGCAGAACATAAAAGCTGTAATATGGAGGCAAATGCAGTGCAATCCCCTGTATGCTACTATGGTGTTAACAAGTTGACCCATAACCTAAAATATATTGGAATATTAGGTAAACCTTACGGTCTCATCAATGAAAAAGGTACAGTAGATACTAGTTACATGGTTCATTTTATCTTGTACTATCGCAGTATGTTTCCGTATTCACTGTCAGTAGATCATGGGTAGCCTATTTCAGGACAATGAATCAGTAAGGGAATTTTGCAAAATTTAAAGATATATTCACATAGGAGATAATGTAACCAATATTCATAGCCAATAAGGACTAAATCTCAACAGCGATGACAAAGGTTATAATTTAACGTTGCTGTCAACTTCACTGTTTCTTAAGCATTTCATCAAAACTAATCTGGTATGTACCTTGTACTCAAAAAGAGCAGTAGCTTACATATTTACAATTTCAGTTCAGTTTTCTATTAAATTAAGCATTTTGACTCGGTAAAGACATGTATTACTCCCTCTCCGTGTAGAAAATAAGCTCAAAATGCTGGTAAATGGTATATACCTAAAGAGTATTTAGATAAGCTTTTTTTCCTGGGAGTTCGCCAACAGCACCACATCATTCTGCTGCTCGTCCAGAAGCTAGTTTTATTATAGAAGATAAGGCAAGCACCAGTGTCTCTCCATCACTTGTCAAGAGAAAAAAAACTGCACATGACAGTGTCAATTATGGTGCTGCTGTCCTAACGGCCACCCCATCTAACGTGCATCTCTCAGTTAGTACATTGAAGCACAAAGTAAGATAAGGTCATAATAAAAGAAGTCTATCAGTTTTAACCTACAAGATAATTTAGAAACAGCCTTGATTAAAAATGGAGTTTTAAATTTATTTATTTAATAAAAATACATTTTAAAAATAAACATTTCTGTATTTCCCATCTTTACTTATTTCCTGTTAGTTTAAAAGATAAAAAGCCTTTATTATATTTAGAACTCAGATATGGTGGAATTTTTGATTCATTATTTGAAAAGGTTTTACATTTAAATGTGAGCATTATACACTTGACTGATAATTCTACAAATTGCAAGGTACTGTAGCACCAAATGAGCCTGCTGTATTTATGGACCCAGTTACTAACAAGTTAACAAAAAGTTCTGTTAATTGGGGAAGCTATTAATTTTGCAATTATTTATAAGCCATTTTCTACCTATTTCAAATTTAACAGTCAGCTTTCCAGTGGCAGTTCCTAGAAGTTGTCACAGATTTTTGATTGTAAAAATATCTGAGAATTATGCAAGTTCCTGGATTACTTTGTCTTGAGCAATATTATTACCTAAGAGATAGGCATATTCTGCCTTGGTTTAGGAACACAGCTTCCACTTCACACAAACCCTAAAAAAAGCTGAGTCTCAGGAAAGCTTTCACTAGCTCTGTGCATAAAGTCTCATATACAGGGCATTCCAAGAGCTCTCTCCACAAGAGCAGCAGCTATTAAATCACTGCTGCACACACAGCATCTTCTAAGAGGTTTCTCTGGTAATGGGAGTACTACAACCATTCCATGCTGAGTCCACAAAAAGATATATATGCCTTTGTAGATATTTAAATCCAGTAATAAAATCATCCAGGCCCCCAAAAATACACCTTGCACATCTAGTGAAACTACAAAAGGGAAAAGATACAACTCTCTCTGAATTAAGCTCCCACCTTTCAGTCTCAATCGTACAACTGCCCCACTGCCTTGTTTTTGCCTCTTAAACTCATCTCTTCCAAGCAAGCAAAGAAAGCTGCAGCAAGGCAAAAATACCAACATACAGCATCAAAAAGTGGTCTTCCTATTAAGCACTGCTTCTACGCATTATGAAATGAATACAATATCCTCAAGCCAGAGGAAGCTTGCTGAAGTCTTCCCAAATAACTGCCTACATAACTAGCTTTCATCATTTAAAGTGATAACTCTAAGTACTAAGAATTGAACACAGAAATCAATTTTCCCATTAATCTGCAAAATAGTTTACAATTAGACAGGGCATTCTTCACTAGATGGCAGACATTCTGATAAATCCATGTCTTCATTTAATATGCATTTTCAATTTTTAATTATCATTAGCTTCTTATTTGTTAAGTTGAGGTTGAGACCTTCAGTATTTAAAAGACTGAATTCTGTTTGTTTCACCGGTTTTGGAGGGTTGTTTTTTTTTTTTTCTACTGTCAGTGTACTAAGATTATTCACCCCCTACCCATTTACAAGCTGTTTAGGTCATTTATGATCAAACCAAATGCTGACACTAATTTTAGAATTAATATCCTTTGGTCATGTTTATCTGCAAAACACTTCAAAAGGACTCCACTTCAAAAGAAAAAAAAACACCCAAAAAGCACAACATGTTAACATGTGTCCAAAAAGCATATATAAAAAAAAGAGTGAGGTAAACCATTCTGTTTTCTTTTAAAATAAATTGTGAATGTTTTGTTTGTTTTGTCTCTCTTATGGCTACGCAGAGATTCTCCCCTTTCTACTTCCCTGCCTAAGATTGTGAGAGTAATCTTTGAATTGGCATTGAAACAAGTAGTGGTGTGGTCTGAAACTTTTAATTTTTCCTATAATTGTTAATAGCTTTAATATTAAAAAAAAGCTATTTGTTACTTAACTTCAAACACGCCTTCCATCCTAAAGCATATGATGTAATCATAGTTGATCTAATTTCAAAACAACTACAGTAACATTAATGTACCTATTATAGTGCTTTTCCTTCCAAATACTTGTAGCGCTATTTATCATACCTTGCAGGAAATAGAATATTTTTCTAGTCAGCTTACAGGAGAAACAATGAGTTGAATTAGCAGATAATTTACTTGAACATTAGAATATTTTATGAAAACATGAAAAAAATGAATGCTATTAGATGTGTTTAGCTAAAGACTGATTTGTAACTTCTCTCTGAAGAACACTTCCTCTACTGACTTTTACAACTCCTGTAATTTTCTTGTGCAGAAATAAACAAAAATCACACAGTTTTAACAAAAGACTGATCAATAAAGCATGAAACCACAAACAAAAGACAACTACATTCAGGAACAGGTATGAGCTTACGAACAGCAGATAGAAATTCTGCATGTCAGTAGAAAATCAAGTCTCTCCATTAAAGCTTTCAATTTGAAGTACTGATTCCAGCAGATTTGCTGACCTACTACAGTCTTGCACCTCTTTGATGCAAAAGGGCAGAAACTGGCAATTTCGTATTTGCAATCATGGATCTGGAATCAGAGCTCAAATTTAATCTGCAGAAACTATTTAAGAATAAATTGATTCAAACTCTGAGTTTGGATGCTAAGTAGTTATTTTCTTTAAAAAAAAAAAAAATTATTTGAGAATGTTCCCAAACCTGACATTCTAAATCAATCACTGTAGTTCAAGATTTTTTTTCCATAATCAAGTTAGAAAATAATTAACTGAACATTTAGAAGAAAGGGTTAGAAAGTCTAGGATTACCTTCAGCTGATTATTGAAAATATCAATTTCCTGAAGTTTAGACCTGGTTTCTTTTTCTACTTCATCTAGCTGGTCTCGAAGCTGTTGACGTGCTAGTTCCTTGGCTTCCAAGGCTCTTTTGATAGTAAGAAGAGAGTCTCCTGTTTTCAAACATATTGTCAATTAAGTTTTTTCTTACATGAAGAATAGGTCGTAGAAAGCAATATTTTTCAACATGCATCTTGCAACACAAAAAAAGAAATTACAGAGTACACTGTCCAAAGCAGAATCATGTCCTATACAAACTTAGATGTAGAAAAATACACTTACTGTGCAAACTGTTCTGTTGAACTTGCTTTAGCTGGTCATTAAGCAATTGCTTTTCTGGAATCAACCTTCCAAGCATCTGCTGAGATTCCTGAACAGAGGACAATGGGGAGAGAGAAAACAAGAAGAGAAACAGACAAAAAGGTAAGTGAGTGATGACCTTAGCCATAAGACCTCTCATCTTCATTTCTTCTGAAATTCCCCTACTTTTTCTCTCACGAAATTATGTATTATTGCTATTAGCCAACTACTATCTGCGTGGTACCACCACTCAGACATAGTTCTCTGCCAATATGAATAAGTGAGCATATAAAATTTAAGCATATTACTTGAGAATTGATTCTCATTGAATACATAATTTGGCTTGGAATTACTTGAAATTCAGGGCAAAAAGACAAGGATGGATTTCAGGAAGTGTTCAAGCAAGCACTTACCAACCATTTAATTCTCATTTTAATAAATGAATCTTAACTTTGATCAGGAATAGAAAGGCAAATATTTACAGATTATTTAAAGAAGAGAAAATAAAGGCTTTCACTTGAAAGGAATATATTATGGCCAAAAGCTATGCAACACAAGCTCTGCTAGATGAGAATACTTGAGTCCGAGATCTCTTGACTTAGCACTCTTGAAAGAGGATTATGATCTCTTTTAATTTCAACACACAACCATAAGATTGTACACCGATATATTACCGGAGACCCTGCAAATGAGAAATTCCCCCTTCAGTGGATCATATATAGATATATATATATATCTCATATATAATCCCCGCTCTTTCTGGAGGATGAAGTGCTACTTCACACACCTTTCAAAAGCCTTGACCTCCAACTTCAAGTTGTCAAAACATATCATAGAAGCATGATGTGAAACAGCTTATTTTATAAAAGACGCCTGAGTGTCAACATCCCATCTTTCAGATAAATTAAGTAATTTATTTCAGCAGTTGTCTTGAATTGCAGGCTTTTGAGGAATCAACTACCTGACAAGTTCAATTTGTCATGAAGGATTGCAAATGACATAATATGATCCTAAGAATAAATGTCACCGCTCAATACCAGAGTGAGTCCCATGAAAAGTTTTTAGTTTTTGTTCCAAGAACACAAGGCTGACTGTACTGACACGACTTCATAGTTGTCCCACTTTACTCATGGCAGTCTTTGATTGGGCCTCTGCAGTGTACAGCTCAGATTTTAAGATTATGCGATGAGTGCAGACTATTGTAATCTCTTTCTGTTCCAAAAAACATACTTACATAGCACAGCAGAGTCAAGGACTTTATAAATCCACAAAGTATCAAAATTAAGATAAACTATGCATTTGACTGTTAGGAGTCAAATGTGTCTCCCACTGTGCATTGCCTATAGGATCAGCAGATCTTTTTCAGCTCTTCAAGGATACCATGAAGGCCAGATACTCCTATCATGGGACTATTATTCCCTACCTAGAACCAAATGAGGAACAGCAATATATAATGCATCATTTTCCAAATCATCTGCCTGAGGGGGCCTGCCTCCTCACACTTTCCGTTCCACCACACCCTCGCACCCAAATACCTGCATGCCTCATGCCATAGTTTGGGATGAAAAATTTAAACAGTATTATTAAATTAGCATAGCACACAGGCATTGTGGAAATGAAGCTTTCAAGTAGTATAATCCAAGAAAGGTGACATCTGGTAGACTAAATGTACTGATGGATAAAGCTCAAGAGGAAAGGAAATCACCTTTCAAGATGCAAGGATATCAAAATTGTATCATTCCAATTTAGTTCCAAGAACTATTTAAATAAGATAAACAGCAGAATAGATGTCAAAATGAAACAGGATTTACAGAAAAAGTATCATTCTTCAAGCACAAAAAGTAACATAGGACAATATTTCAGGGTGGAATGTAATCCTAACCTTAGTTATTTATTTTTAAAGGCCAGAATACTTCTAAAGTCCAGACTACTCAATCTCAATATACAGAGTAGTTCAGAGAGACAGAAAATGCCAAGGGATCATGAGGGTCAAGTTCTGTTTCCTAAAATCACAGACAACCATGTAATAAGCATCTATTCCAAGAGCATCCACAACACACTTTTCCACATCCTTTAGCTGTACTGAAGAAACAGATGAAAGAAATTAATGGCATCCCTAACACTGAAGTTCCATGCAACAAGAAATTTCCAAGAATTCAGTAATGTCCCATATGGCAATAGAAGGCAAGCAAAACAATCAAAAACCAATTCCTGCCTATCTAATGAGGGGAAAGTTCACTTCTGGTTCTACGCCCTGAGCAAGAGGGCATATGAGAAACTGAGATACCACTATGCGTCTTCAGTCTCTGCCACATACCCTGCTTCCAGTGCTTCAGACGAAAGCCAAATTACTTGGGAGTCAAAAGTAGCTCATCAAGGAGACAAATAATCACTGCAGGTAACTAGCAGAAGCCCTGCAGACAGTATAAACATGACTCAAACACATACAGTTAAAGTGTTTGGAAGACGGGATTCTTCTGGACACGCCTGGAAATACCGCTCTACCAGACACCACAGATTCATACAAATAGCACAAATTTTCATCATCCAGGATTAACTGTTATACAATTTCTTCCACAAGTTTAATCAAACTCCATCTTGAAACTAATTAATAGGTTGAAGAATAATTACTCCTTTGAATTAACTTACCTTTCCACAGCAAGTGCCAGATGTATTAAACTAAAATATTTCCAAGTGGAGACATATCATCTTATAAAGATAACTGACAATACCGACTTCTTAATCTTTTGGAGAGTTCAGAGGATCAAAATCTCCTTTTACAACAGTCATTTACTGGTTTAGTCTTTCCTCTACAAATTAGATAGTAAAATTTACAGGATATTTGAGAAACGCATCTTTTTTTCAGGAAAAAGCTATCCACTCTTTTAGGTTCTCCTCAGATAAAATTTGACCTTGGTCACTAAGTAGTGACACTTCTTTCTGGGATCACAATTGTGATAAACCCCTTAAGAGACACTAACTGAAGTATTAGTGGTAAAAATAAATGATCACCTGAGAGAATATAATACCATAAAGCCACAGCTATTGATGTCAACCTAAAAAAATAACACCTCAAAACCAAAAATCCAACAAAACAACCACCAAGAAAGGGAAGGATGATTTTCATTACAGAAGTGCTCTTACAGTCATTGTGAACAAAACGATTTAGAAACTAAATAGGCATCAGCTAAGCTGCTGGATACATCCCATCCAGCACTAATTAGAATTACCAGAGACAGCTAAAAATCACTACAAATATAGTAGTGATTCCAAAAAAAGAATAAAATATAGTTAACTCTGCAAAATTCATTGTACTTTGCCAGCTGTTTTAATAAAATTTCAGAGCGGTGTCAAAATGCTGAAGATAAAAAACCCAAAGCTATCTGCTTTTTGACCATTGTGATTGGGTAGTACGTAGCACAAACTAAATGTCAGGGAGGTGAAGAATCACTCTGCCCTCCTTAACTTTTCCTTTCATGGTGATGTGGTTAAAATCGATGCGCAAAAGCTGTAGGTAAGCAAAAAGCACATATATGATCAGCCAGAAGAGGTGATTAAAAATTAAAAAAAACTGTTAATGAGTCTACAGAGAACACTGCCCCTGATTATCTAGTAATTTTTAATAAGCTACTTAACCACATCTACTTGTAGATAGATTATCTTTCTCACTACTTGTTTCCCAATAGTGCTAGTTTCGCTTTTTTTTTTTTCTTCCCTCTGCGCCTTCCATTTAATATACCCAGCTGTGGAAGCTCATTCCAAATTCTTGATAATAATATTTTCTCATGTTTTTTTTACAATGTCTGTTTTAATAGGACCCTATCCCAACTGTAGCACATTGGTCTTTACCGTAACATAAATTACTTAGAGCTTTTTACTGTAACGTACCATTTTTTTCTTCTTCATTTGTTATATTATGACAAAAGCAAAGAGATACTTTATCTTTTCTGACTACAGAGCCTAACTGAACAAAAATTGCCAAGTTAACAGGAATGACAGATGGAAGTAGGAAATAATTCCATTCAATTTGTTGAAATAGCATTTATCTATGAACGGCTATGTAGCTGCTTAGCTTCTTCTCAAGTGAGTTACAGTATCTTAGACCATTTCTGTGGAAACCTTTTGGAATAAAAGGGTTAGAGGGAAATTCAGGTGGTTGTTGCTCTTACATGGCAATTGGCTGTGTACAGCCATAAGTAGTCTTTAACTTATTCAGGTCAATGGGGGCTTTTTCATGCATTTTATCAGGCATAGTCAGTTTTTTGTCTCTTTGAGCCAGTACTACTAAGCGTAACTTAATTTCCTACATTTGATTCAATGCTGTTGCCTTCCTTTTCAATTGTCAATTCAGGAGCATTTCATTAAAGAGAGAAGAGTAGTTTCAGACCTAGCAATGACAGTTGCTTATGTCACAAGCATCCCTTAGTAGCATTTCTTGTTTGCTATTGTTTGCATCAAGTGGACACAAACACTGCAAGAATGATCCCTAAATTATACTCTTTCTTTTGGCAGCAGCTTATAAAGATGTCTTGTGAAAGCGTAATAGTGTACACAAAACTTGAATAGAAATGTAAGATGTTTTAAGAAAGAGGAAAAAAAACCCAAAAAATACTTATACATAAAACAAAAAACCTGAACTTTCAAGTTCTCATTTTGTTCAGATGAATGTACTATATTAATTATGCTTAGAAAGTTTAAATAGAGCAGTAGGATTAGGTCTTAAGATAGGTTTTACACCAAAGCCCTCATAAGTGTGAGGTTGTCTTTGCAGTAGTAGAAAAGTACTGAGAGCCCCCATTACTGGCCAAAAATTAATTCCAAACAGTATAAATTATTTAATAAAGAGAAAAACCAAACACTACAACTCATCTAGAAACCTTTACAAATTGCAAAGAGTATTCTTTCGCTAAAAGCAGGCATTTGCTCAATTCCATCTTTAATTTGACAGAGAATTTTAGATAGAGCAGTAGGAAAGACAAATGCCAGGGTTAGACCAAGAACTAACTGGTTTAGCTGGTAACTTCAATTTTGAAAGTTCATTATTTTGTAATTTAAAAAAAAAAAAAACAAAACACATCTTCAATAAGCCACTTGACTGAAGTCAATTCTTTCTTTCAGCAAACAAACAGCAATCACTGCCAACAAAACACATCCATAACATTTCATTCTCCTCATCCCCCCAAACACTTTATCACCTCCAGCCAAAACATTTATTTACTGCTCCCCACAACAGGATTTGATGACAATGAAGTGATAAGCACAGACGCACCATCAAGCGTAGGAAGCAATTCCTAGATATGCCTGAATAACATTCATTTAAAAGAATGACAAATTATCTACAGCAATTCCTTACGTACAAGGAACAACACATCATATATTGTGGCAAGTTTGCTTAGGATACTGATGCAGTTGAGGAGGTCAAAATGCAAGGCTAAGAACAAAATTAGAGATTGTTTGCTCACCTGTAGCTGCTGTTGCAAATGGGTGATTTCTGCAATTCTCAGTTCTCTAGATTTATTTGTACTTTCAATTTCTTGTCTTTGGGTAGACAGCCGACATCTGATATCCTGAAGCTTTCCCTCCAACTGATTCTTTTTATCATTCTTTAGGAAAAAAAGAAAAGAAAAATATCTCTCTTTTTTACCAGAATGGTTTTTCATGCAAGTCAGGATCTAAAAAGTACTTGTATTCCATATTTAAAAGTTGAAATTATAGAAAGTAAACATGGCCATATCGTAGTCACTACTGTGCTTGTGTGTTTTATCTGCAACATGATCACTTACTAGAGCTTCCAGCTCAAATTCTAAGGTCTTCTTCTTTGCCTTCAAAACAACTATGTCCTCTTGTTCTTTGTTTCTTTGATTTAGTAATTCTTGCCGACGATTACGCTCCCATTCAAGTTGTCGTTGCCTCTCAAGTTCCCGTTTTGCAGCCTGTAGCATTTAAAAAATAAGATATGAAATATCTATTTTGATAAACTATTCTAATAGCTGATATTCATATTCTAATGTGCAATTAAAACATTAATGCAAACACACTGCTAAACTGGGGACTAAATATGCACCTCTATTTAAGCACATACATTGCTCAATTGTTTAAATGCTCACTTGAAAGCACTGGTGAAATGGGGCTTCACTGTATAGCAGGTAGGTGACTAAACAAAAAAATCACTCCATTTTAATCAGTTTCCCAAGATCCAATTTTTTGATTTAATAAGTTGTTTCATATTAAGCCTTCAAGAACTCTCCAGGATAGCATCAAACCTCTTTCCAACCTCCAACATTAGACATTCTGCAGCTTTGCAAAGAATAAAATGCTACTGCGCTGAATGCACCATCATTTGGCAATGTGAGAAAGTAACAGCTTTTTAAGTTAACCAGTATGTGTTTTCTTTAGCAAATTAATTCATCACAGGAAAAATCATGAATGCCACCAATGCCCATTGTTTCCTTTGTTCATTCAAGAATCTCTCTATATCAAAGAAAATAATAATTATTATTCTTTTTCAAGAAGTCAGAGGTTAGGAGCACATTGTCCTAGATCTAAATGTCTCATCCATTCGTTTCACATGAAAAATAAAGAAAGAGATAGCCAACTCTTTCATTACCTTCAAAAACTCAGAAATTTAAGTTCATTCTTTAAATGTTTGCTTACTAAAAATGACAGCAGAATATTCAGTGTGCACATTACGTTTTGTTCTAATCAAACACAGCTGTGAGTAACATAACCACCTTCCTTTTACCCAGTTGGTTACCTCTCTTCTTTCTATTTCTTTCCTCCTTTCCTCTTCCCTCTGCCGTTCCAATTCCCGTTGTTTTTCCAACTGTTTCTCTAGCTCCAGTTGTCTTTTACGTTCTTGCTCCTGCCGCTCACGTTCTTTCCTCTCCTGCTCTGCCCGTTCCAGCTGTGCTAGACGTTCTTGTTCTTTGCGTTGCTGTTCCAGGAGAGCTTGCCTCCGTTTTTCAAGTTCTAGATTGCCACGTTCAAAGTTCTCCCGTTTTTTATCTTCAAATGTAACTTTAATGTGTGGAAACATGGGGCAAAGGAGAATTAAACTCTGGTACTGACTTAAAGAAAAATAATCCATATATGCTGAATCAAAGTGAAACAACCTTCCAACAGTACCAGATGCAGCTCTCAACTACTGACAATACAGCTCTACAGGTAATTCTAGGTTTTATCATTAGCATTTATATTGTAGATCCCCTTAAACTTACGCCCTCAGGAAACCAACGTGCGAATTACAGTTTCCATTCCTCAGGCTTCTAGGTTTCTCCACAAAGCCCAAAAAGTGGGTATAATTTAGACTAACCATTCACCAGGTAATCCTCTGTGAGGACATAGGATCTGAAGTTCCTCTATACATTTGATAACAGTAGCAGTACAAGAACCAACACTCCAGTTACTATAAGGCAAGGAATTCAGCTGATTATATTATCAAAAAGCCATTATGCAAATGACCAGATTGTATTTAAACTTGGTGTTCTCATAAGATTACTCATTACTGTCAGGAAAAGAAATGGTTTGATTAAGTTCTTGAGCAGCTGAACTCAGGAGGACTGGATTCCTGCAGATTCACATTCTCATCACTTACTGTCCTAAAAGAATCACCTCAGTTCCAGCATGGGTTCCCTGACATTCTTCTACAACATTAGGGACTGTCCTTCCCGTGTTCCACATTCTTAGGCCCCTCCCTCACAGTTCCTCCGAATTGTTCTTTCTACTTCACCTTCTGTTTTTTTTCATATCCTATATATCCCATTCCCATACCCTGTATTCTATATTTCTCTCCCTGCATGCCCAACATGTACGTTTTTGGCATGCAAATCAAGTTAAGAGATAGCACATATTTACTTCAAAGCATGCGTACATTGTTTGACATGTTGGCCTGACATCTGCTGAAACAGTTGATTTCTTGTCTTTTTCTAAGTTTGGCCCCCTTTTCTATTGCCAAACACCAATTTTCATAACACTTGAAAAAATTTAACCACTTTGATGTCTGTCAAATTTGTTTAAAATTAGCCATTGGGTTCAAAGAATATTAAGACACAGACTGATAAAGAATGCAATTATAACCGCCACTAATTTAGGAAACCAAGCAAAAAGTAATAAGAGGGGGAGGGGAGGGGCGGGCAGGGAATTTATGTCAAGAAAGTCAGTTAAAAGGAACAGGTAGAAGGGCAAAACATTTGCAAGTAGCATGGACATTAAGATACCATGTTCAAGGCTCAGAAAACACATACCAGTAAGAAACACCACCAGGTTCTAAGAGGGCTGCCCAACAAGCTAGTATGGTTACTCAAAATCAAGGTAGCTACCAGAGATAACAAAACAAAGCATATCCAAAGTATGAAAATAGAAGAGAACAACTTGGAGCAAATTAAATAAGTAGTTATTGGCTTGTGTTACTATGCTTAAGGGAAAACTTCTAAAAGGTTATAAAACCCAACAATAAAACTCTTTCAAATGTCTCAAAAGAAAAAAAAAAAAACAAAACACACCACCTAACCAGATTTAGCAAAGCCAATGAAGCAGCATTCGCTCATCACTACTAAGTGAACTTTACAATGGAAAATTCATACATCTAATACTGTAAAAGGCTTATAACCTCTAGTTCCTCTTTAACTGAAAACAGAAATGGCTTTATAACAAAAATAAAACTAAAAAATGAAGAGTAACAGGTTGCCAAACCTAGAAAATGCTAATCCGTAGTTCAAATACAAAATTCATGAACTACTAGCTGTGCTGTGCAATCCATCCTTTAATCAACATCAGTGCTCTAAGACTAGAAGATGACAAACGCAACACCAGTCTAAGAAAAAACAGTATAAGGATTCTGAAAGCTACAGACAAATCAGTCTGCTCCCATGCTGGGCAAAGCAGCAGAGGCTACAAAAGACAGAGAGGTAGGTAGTATACATGACTAAACATGATATCATGGAAGAACCAATGCAGGAAAGAGCTGTCCCTCAACTCTAATAGACCAAATTGTATGAATAAACAAGCTGAAAAAGAAGATCAGGTCAACAGAAGAATACTTGCGTGATTTTGAAGGCTAATAAAGAAACAAAGCCAAAGCAGTGGTTGACATTCCTGACACTACAAACTACATAGCAAAATCCTCTGATTCCAGACAGACACAAGACTTAGACCACAAAGAGCCAAAACAGGAGAGTCATCTCACCTGTGACCAAATGTTTCATTGTGAGACCTCAGTGAGGTCTGCTTCAGCAGTCCCTGCTGTCTCCCTCATCCTCCTACAGCCAGAAATTACCCAGCAGACTGCCAGCAACAGTTAGTTATAAGATACAAACCAAAGAGTTGTATCTGAATTTCTCACATGCACATCCCCTGAACTACCCTGGTACAGAAAGAGACAGAAGGTCCTTGGGAACTAACGAATAGTTAAAAGATTAGAATTAAAGGGTGAAATAAATTACCAACTTTCACAATGACAGAAAGATTCTCAGTAGCCTCCTTCAAAGATCTCTACTAGCAATTGTGCTGTTCAATGTGTAACAATGACCTGGAAGAGACTGTAAAGTAGTAAGACAGCTTCTGGAGATGATGCCAGAGAGTCATGGTATTAAAATAAAAACCTGACTGTGAAGAGCTTTAGAAGAATGTCACAAAACTGAGTGATCTGGCAATGAAGAAGAGGAGGAAACTCAAATGTTAATGACTACAGAGGATTGTACATGGGGAATAAAAATAATCCTAACTAAACACACAGTCTTGAGCTCTAAAATGGTTAACAGATTTGTGGAAGGATGTTGGCATTACTGTGGAAAGTCTTCTAAAACATCAACTCAGATCTAAGCTGTGATCAAAGAGGCAGTACAGTGTTTGGAACCAATTGAAAAGAAAAAAGTAATTCAGAACAAAACAGAAAAGCATTATGGCACTGTACAAATCTGTCATGTTGCTACGTCTTCAACTGTGTGACATTCTGGTCATCTTAGAATAAAATAGAGCAAAAGTAAAGAAAGTACAAAGAATAGTGAGGGGATGATAAGAAGTGTTAAGACGTCTCCTAACATTTAGCCATTTAACATGTAGGCTTTCTACCCTTTCCTCCCCCCACTTTCTTTCTTTTTTTCTTTTATTTTCCCAAAAGCAGAGATGTTAAAGCTTGTATAAAAAAACCCCATACTGTTACACAGACTGCACTGAAACAGGCCTCTGTACATATATTGTGAACTTTTAAAGAGTACATAAGCCAAACTACACTCCACCTAAGTCAGAAGATGGAGGTAGTAAAAAGTTTTTATTGCAGTCCTATAATAGGGCTGCGAAGTGCTGCCTCTGTTGAGAGTACATAAGATAAGCAGCCCAAATGTCGTTCGTAACTCCACTGTCACTAACACAAAGGATCATGCAACAGTCACGAATTAGCTGGACCAAGCAATGTCTCAGTTATGCCTCTGACATGTCACAAACTGATCTGAAAAGAAAACATTTCTTAATAAGCTTTTCTAACTCCATGCATATAACCTGATGATAACACCTCTCTGATAACAGCACACAATACATCTCTATTTTTGTTTGCTCACCTGGTAATTTCTTTTCCAGTTGCTGCTGTTCTTCTTCTAATGCTGGTTCTTCTGGTAACCTTTGGTCTACAGATACTGAACTTACAGCAGATATGCCACTACCAGAGCGTACTCTTCTGTCAATAAAACAATAATTCCAAGTTGCTTAGAAGAGGCTTATGCCTGCCAAATTTATTTATGATTTAATGATGAAATCATAAATTAAATGCAATGATGTAATGTTTAATGACATTTAATGTTCCCTCAATGTTGCCCAGAAGATTTTATTCAGCCGTTGCCATTAAGATAACAGTATCCTCTGGGAGTCCCAACAGCACACACTGCTGAGAAACCCCAGTTCAAATTTCACAGCACCATGCAACTTATAGATGCGTTCAACGCTGTCCCCAAGATTTCTTACTTGTGACCAGTCTGAAGTTGGGGAAATGCTCATGTAAATTATAGTAAACTTTGCAAAGACAGAGGAAGAGCTCACTACAGCCAAGCTAAAAACAAGACATGGAATAAACAAAAAAGTTGTCATCTTCAGGAGGATACTTCAAGAACAGGAAGATATGATTGTATGCAAGCATTTCTTTCTTTTGCTGTTACTGTCTTCCCACCCATTTCTCCACAAAAAAAGGAAACAGGGAAACAGAAGTAATGACTCACCACTACTATTCACAGATACAACTGTATCAAATGATATCTGAATTTGCTACAGTGTAAATTCATAGCACGTTTTGAATTCCTATGCATTCCATTTGCTCTACAGAAGGATAAGCTTGAACTGCAACACTTTAAATTTATATGGCCAGAATGAGGAAATTTTGGAAGGTATGCTAGCATAAAACATTGACCAAAACTGTATTCTTACAAGGAATTCTTGCTACTTCCAACATCCAGTACTTGTAATAAAACCAAAAAGCTAGACAAGTATTTCCCAATGAAAAGGCACTCTGTTGCCATAGATGCAGTACAAAAAGGAGAGGGGTTACTTTTCAATCCCTTGTACTTTACACACATAGGACAGCTTTCCCAAATAAAATAAAAATTTAGGAGCGAGATTCCAGAATTATAACCAGTTACCTAAATGAAGGTGGAATATACTCTGGAGGCAGTACAGGTGGCAGTGGCTGACCAGACATAGCTACATCAATTAAGTGCATAGCCAGAATAAACTCTTCGGCTGTAAGTTTTCCATCTTGATCGATATCAGACAGATTCCTTTTTAAAGGAAAAGTACAAAGTAAGTAAATTCTTAAATATTAAAAAAATTACTGTTAAAAAGCATTGTTTTAACTTATCCAGTTCCAAATTAATTCAATTTTTCATACTACTTTGTTTCTTCAAAATAAAAAGCAAAAACCAAATGCTTCACTCTTTCACAAATTTCTCATGCATGTCTGCCTTGAAACTACCCTTATAGCCATGGCTTCTATTTCACCTGTTCCTCAAGTGCTGCCTGTACCATATGCTATATAAGCAACGTTAATCAATGGAGTTTTGTTGAAGTGAAAATCCCCTACACAGTATCATTTAGAAAAGAATCATGCTCAATACGTTTGGTAGAACTTTTTGGTTTGGTGTCCTTCATCCTTGGAGGCTCCAGTCTCACATTCCAGAGCACACATTTGCATTAAAATCAAAGCCATTAACATTCTAGTCCTGACAAGCACAAAAACATTTTAGCATTATGCACATATTAAAAATTATGGAGTAATGTCTCTGGACGGCCTAAAAACCAGTGCTCCAACAGATGCACAAAATGCTTTTACTAATATTAAGGTGGCAATGGACAAAATTTAACAGCTTAAACATCAGCTTCGTTTCTCTAGCATGCTGCACTCTAATCATGAAGGAAAATCTCCCTTGATACTGTGAAAATCAAAGGTAAGCAACTGATACATTCTCTTGATGTCTCAAGGTAGAGAACTTTGTTTATGGGATTTAAATTTGGAAGACAATTATAGCCCCATTTGATCTATGCTTGTGTTATTGAACTCCTCAGCTGGGGCACAAGAACAAGCCAGTAGAATGAAAGTCTAGCATGCAAGGATATAATTGATCAGCTATCCTAACAGTCTGGGTCCACATCTTTGTTTCAGAAATACCGAAACAGCTGCTACACCCTGCACATCAGTACTTCACTTTGTGTACCTATGAGTCAGTGAATCCACCCCCAACAGAGACTGACAAATCTTGCCCCAGAGAACAGCAACAGCGGTTCCACTGCCAGAAAGTATCAGGAAAGGAGCAACTCTGAGGACAACAAACGCTGTAAAATCCATTCCTTATCTCAATAGACTTGGCAGTTTTGAATGTCAAAAATTAAAAGAGTTATGTTTAGAACTCCTGAAGTACGCTGACATCATTCCCCTGCCCACACAACCTACTTAAGTGCTGGCAACAAGCAGAGTATTTTTTTTGCTAATCATCTGCTGGGTATTTTTTTTTCCTTATAGTAGCTTTGTTAGAAAACAGAGAAGGCAAGAGTGCTTTTTAAGATATAACAAAAACATCAGTGCTTAGCAAAGAAAGCAAGTGTCATTTACTGTCGCGTTAGAGTGACACCTGACATCCTCACACAGAAGTCATACGGGTTAGTGAGCTAACAACTGTTTTCAAGCAAAGACTTAAAAAGTATAGAAGTTAATTAGAAATAATTGGTAGAGGGCAACTGGAAATTAAAAATATACAGAAGCAGCATGAAAGCCATTTGAGAAGTCACCAAAGACAACCTTAAATCAACAATAACCAAGTACTACTCAAGCAATAAATTAGAAACATTATATAGTACATGGGAAAGCATGACCTTCCAAAGTATGATGGAGGAGAGAGACTAATCCATGTGACAATAAGAACACAATAAGCTTCAGCAAACATAAGTTGAAAGGAAAAAAGAGTAGCCAAGACAAATCCTTTTAAAATCCATTCTTTTAAATGTATGTAACTCCAGCCCCTTGGAAATAAGCCCTTAGACACTCACACAAAAGGCAGACAAGCCCCAAAGCAAGTATGGTTCTGGATTAAGCTCCTTGTGCAAATGTGAAAGTTTCACTGGTGCTGTCTCACATAGCACTGCGGATATGGAAGACATAGGAGGCTGAACATTCAGCCTCCCTAAAAACCCCATAATTGAAACCAAACTTACGAAACATCTATGTGCATAGTGTAAAAGATGCTCTTTTTTACTTTTGTGAAATAACATTAGTTTAAGCATAGCAGTGCAGATTTTGTTTTATAAAGTTATACATTAAAAAGAGCAATGTATAATAATTTATCAGTGGAGGGAGATTGAAAAGGGAGAAAAACCCCACAGTATACAGTATAGAGGATTAAATACAGTTTCCAGTTGGGTAGAAATTGATAGATTTATTTTTACCATATTGTAGCCAGCTGAGCCTGGGGTAAACTTGACTGCATAAGAATAGTTCTTGCTTGTGGACCTAACAAAGTAAAACAAGGATTAACAAACAAATAAGCAACTTTCTCCTTTTCTTGCATTACCAAGTAGCTACTGCACAAGCAGAGCTTAGTTCTGAATAGGTAACACTGAAGAGATGTTATCAGCATGAACAGGCTATACATACTGCTATCCCTAGGCCTCCCTCCTTGCCCCTGGAAGGAAAATGTTAAAAAATACATAACTCTTCCCTTCTCCACAACAATCACTCAGATTAAAAAAAAAAAAAAAAAAGCTATGAAAGGCAAAGAGATGGTCCCAGAAACAGTAGAACTAAGCCAGTGTACCATTCTAGTTACTTTCTGAAACTGGATAGGCACCCTCATCAGTGGATGAACTGAACACTGTAAATAGCTGCACAAGTTTTTCATGTAACCCACTGTACCCTTTCAAAGAATCATTTCCCAGTGCCAATGTACTTGGCAGAAAACAGACAAAAGAAGGTGATAAAATGATCCCAGATACGATAAATATTTGTTCCTATAAGATCATTAAGCAGTTGGGAGATTTGAACAGAAAAATATTGATGGTGACAGCAGAGAGAGATGAGAATCTGTTACTACCTGAGTAGCATTCTAAATGCTGTTATAACTGGCCTTCTACAGTTCAAAAAAAGGAGACAATAAAAACTGCTTCAATACCTGTTAAGTGTCCACTCATTGTTTTATCATGGCTATTGAACAGCTGTCTGTACTTCAGTCTTGATGACTGAGGTACAGCCCACTCTGCCACAGGAGGCACACTAGAATTAGAAAAAGGATAAGGAAGAGGGGGATGAAATGTAATTTTAAATTTAATCACATGAAGCTAACAGGTACAACAGGATGAAGTGCTGCACAGAAATCAAGTTTTATTCCTGAAATGGTTCTTTTTACAAATACTCCCTTCAACAACTTCCCACAACAGCTTTGACTTCTTGTTTGAAAACATTTGTCTAATTCAGTGTCTTAGATGATGTTTTTTGGTACAGCTGAATGACAAGCCTAAGAATTTTGCATTTTTCTTTACTAGCAGGGAATTAAGTAACCCAAACAGGTTTAGAGGAGGTAAAAGCTTTTACCTAAACATGTAATAGGAAATGCCTTACCACAATCAGCAAAAGTAGTATTTCATTTTACCCTTTAACTGATTGTCTTAGCCAAATAATTCATAAGCTGATAATGGCAAACAAATGTAAAATATGCTGAAAACATAGAAAAAAGTGTGAAAAGGCTACACTTGAAAGCAATCAAAGTTTCTCGTAATGGAACTCAACTGACAAATGTAATATTCCCAGTTCTAATTTGTCCACATAACAGGTTGAGTGATGTTATTTGTAGCTATAATTTCCCATACTTGAAGGCTGACAAGTCTTCATAGTGAAAAACAATAAGCACAGTTTTTCTGCCTTTAGGCACATTCAAACTGTCCTTTTTTGTGAAGGTTGGGAAAAACGCACAGTTTTTCTGCCTTTAGGCACATTCAAACTTTGTCCTTTTTTGTGAAGGTTGGGAAAACAAACAAACAAAGGCACCCAGATTAAAAAAGCATTTGTAACAGCATACCAAATTACAGTTTAAAATGAAATTAAAAAAAAAAAAAGGAAAAAGAAAAAAAAGAACCAAAACCACCAAATCCCTTTTCCCTGGTCCACTGAGCAGACAGCATGGTAAGATCTTTCAAAAGTTGAGCTGAGAAGGAATACATGAATACACTACTAATTGACCTCATATCCTACTCTACATGACAGGACCCTAAACAGCCAATGCCTCTATTTCTATTTTCTATTTCCAAACTATTGTGCGTTAACAATACTCTTCTCCATGGGAGCAAAGCAAAACCAAGCTGCATCTTAAATAATGAAAACAAGAACTGAAACTTTAAAAAAAAAAATAAAAAATAAAGCTATTTAATTTTTATCCATTTGAATTCCTCCCTCACCAGTTTTGCTAGATTTGGAGTTTCCACACATTCAGTCTACTGTTGTCTTACGTACGTATGTACTTTGATCTGTCAAGTAAGGTTACTGTACATTAAGTAATGAAACTCTCCTTCATGGATACTCAAATGGTAGTTTTGGAAGAAACAAATGTTGGAGGACAGAACAGTTGACTCATGTATGCCAAACACCCTGTATGCCAAGAGTTCACTTATGGTGACTCAGCAGAGTGATAAAAGCACCATAAGTGGAATTCCGAATTTCACCCTTCTCAAAATTCAAAATAATTCTCAGCTACAAAAAAAAAAAAAAAAAAAAAAAACCAAAACCAAACCACTTAAACTTTTTCAATTCAATGGACTTGGCTCTTCCTTGCCTTCCCTAAACTCAGCAAATCAATTACCTTGCTATCCATTTTCTCCAAAATAAATCTTGAAGACACAGGCCAGTTCATCACTCAGCACTAGCAGCAGTCTGTGATGGAATACTCCCTTCAGTGCTAGCAGACCTTTCAGAGTTACTGAAGTAACTGTTATTGAGCTAAGGAAGCTCCAGCCCCGGCCCAAGCAAATTCAGAGAACCATGCAATTGCACCTCAGAAAAGAAGTCATCTCACCTGAGGTTCAGGCCTCTGTTTGCAATAAAAGTGACCAGCAAGATTCAGATATAGTTAATCTCAAAACTATGACAGCCCTCTTATAGAATACCTAAAAGCCATTTCAGCTGACATTCCCTGAACTTCCTTCATTATAAATACTAAAGGCATTGTTATAAACAAAGCAAATAACTTCTTGTACCTCTAGAAATTATATCAGAGCATCACTACTATGTTCCTGACAGTACTACATTTCAAAGACAAAAAGAATTGTTTGTTTTGAAAGATTCTGAATTCAATTTGCCAATAATCAGTAGTGTTGCTTATCTAATACCACAAGACAAACCTGCAGAAGAAAAATGAAAATAGAAATAGATAATTAAATAATGTCCCAAGCCATTTGCTTCTTGCAAAAAAAATCTGTAGCATAGACCTGTGAGAAAGTTTTGATTTGTAAAGACTTTAGGAAATTACTGTCTTACCTCCTCTAATGAAGTTTTATTTTGCTCAATACATTTCTTCATAATATAGTAAAACACATTTTGCCTGACCATACATTTTCCTAGGCCTTGAAATAATCTAAAAGCCTTTTAGGTGATTTTTCATGCAGAACTTGAAGAATATATAATAACAGTTATGTGAAGTGCATCTAAAATGAGAGAACTGTTAAGTATTTTGCTTTTAAAACTAATCCTAGAGTTGCTAATTTTTAAAGAATATCACCTGTTATGTTTTCACACTAACTGGAGTGCCTGTGCAGTATTACACAATGCAGATTATGTTTACAGCAGCAAATGCTTTTCTAAAAATTAAGTTTTCAAGAGTCTGAAAACAGTGTCAACACATACTGTAGTAATAGTTAATTACAATATTTCAATGATTCACTACTCATGGAGCATTCCTTGTAAAAC